CAAGTAAAATCAAAAGACAGAAGTGAGGGGATCGAAGATATATTTGATAAGCTATCAATATATCGAGGATCGTCTGATCTAACCTGGCTGGCGATTGCAGTAGATGTTGAGCACGGCGTTCCCACACGTGATCTGGTGCGGATGCTTGACCGAGCGCCTTCAGCTAGATGAGTCCACTAAAACTAATGTGATCAGCATCCAATGTCGAAAACTTACAGAGCTATTTGATTTTGGGGAATTGTTTACCGCTACAGTGAAAACATAGGCACAATCGGTTCAGTATGATGATTTAAAGCATTCAGATTAATGTATCAATTAGAAATTACCGAAACAGTGTAAGTTAAGCCAGGTATAACTAGATGAGTAAATATCGACGTTTGTATTTGCAATTAGTAGTAAGCGGGTAATTGAGTACAAAAAAGTCATTAGTTTGTTCGAATACCACAACCACAACAACTTGAGTCAGAATCGAAATTTCTGTAATTAATTATATTCCTCAGTAGGTTCCTCCTGTGTCTATCCGACTGTGTATCGGATAAGAGTCTGTATGATCTCAAATGTACTCACAATTATTATAATTAGCAACCGAAGTCGGAGCAGAATCACCTGATTTCTTGTAACGTATTGGGTTGTTATGATTGGCTCGCTTGTGAATTACAAATATATTGACATGTTCTAGCAAACCTTCAATTGATTGTGGAAAGATAATTCTTTCACGAAGATGTTTTGTTTAAGCAATTACATCATTGTTTTGTTCGAATGCGGTCTGGTAGTTCTGCGCTGTATGACTTTATTTGCTCTCGCGTCCTAGTCTTCTAACTTTGCAGCAGTAGTAGAAGTGACGTTTGTTTTTAAAATCTTAAAACTTATTGATTGCACACGAGAATGAGGGAACTTTGGAGTTGTGCATAATATTCCACACTTCGGTTCCGCAGTTAGCAAGTTATTAAGCACTTCATTAGAACCATTTCCTGTAGTCAATAAGGAAAGCTGTCATGGAAGCATTCTTATATTTTCTAGACCCAGAATAATCAGCTCACAATCAGTGATGAGAAATTCAAAATATGTAATTGAGGACCTATTGCCTTCAATCAACAAATTATAATATCCAAGAATAGAAAGCTTACAATCCATAATACTGAAAATGGGAACTTTGATAGGCATAATTATGACATCAGAATTTAAAAACTTCAACCTTCCAACCGAAATAAAGGACTTGATACTGCTGATGTCAACAATAAAATCGTGCAGATTTTTTTCACCGTCATTGTTAAGTACTTAACGTATCTTTGTTTGTAGGCTCTTATGCTCCTCTTCATTCATTCATGTGTTTTTGTGTATTCCGTGAGTCTCTTGGCTTTCTCTGCTCTGTTCTTCCACAGCGTATCAACAAAGACCCGTGCTATGTGCTAGTTCTTCTTAACAACTCAAGAACAGTAAACCGTCTAATAATATTCTATGAGTTAAAATAAAGCTTACACTAAGAGTAACATGAATATGTACCATATTGGTCCATAATTAGTTCTCAAAAGTTACCATCCATAATTATCGTCAGGATACAACAATTTCCCCCATCTGTGATTTGATACTGTAATGCTTGGAAAATGTGGTTGAGGGCTATCTTTAAGTTGTTGAGTTTGTCAGTATTTTGAAGAAAGGCTATAATAAAAATTCGTAATGTTGTTATGCCCTTGAAGCGGTAAATAAATCCTCAAAATCAAATAGCTCTGTAAGTTTTCGACATTGGATGCTGATCACATTAGTTTTAGTGGACTCATCTAGCTGAAGGCGCTCGGTCAGGCATCCGCACCAGATCACGTGTGGGAACGCCGTGCTCAACATCTACTGCAATCGCCAGCCAGGTTAGATCAGACGATCCTCGATATATTGATAGCCTATCAAATACATCTTCGAACCTCCTCGCTTCTGTTTTTTGATTTCACATGGTGGGTACGCTTCATATTAAGTGTTACTGGTTAAAGTGTTGTCAAACTCCGAATACCTGTGGCATCTTCACCCTTTTAGCTTCAGTGTCGTCTTAGCTCTCACCAAGCAGTGATCTTAAAATATGTTAGCTCATACAGAACGCATTACTGAGCTCATTTACTTGAGATCGACACCGTACTTATTTATTTGATCACATTAATATTGTTACAAAAGGTCACCAGATACATATATGCTGCAATAATAATGGGAATGTAAAAAGCTAAAGAATCTAAGGTGCGCATAAGAAAGCATTAAACAATGAACAAAAGTTTGTGCATGATAATGAAACAATAATAATGCGACAGACAGTTCAATTAGCAAAAATACAGCTACTGCGAATCCTCCCACTTAAAGAAGTTACGTTCTTTTTTATGAAGTAAAATAAAATTATAGCAGGATCACCACTGGCTTCTATTCTGAGCCATATCTGATAACGTCTCTAGCCACTGTGTTGCACCGTCTTTAGAACCCCACTCAAGGAGTCATGATGGACCAACAGAAGCCAGCCCTTTGCAGCTTTCTTTCATAACACGACACCATATAATACATTGACCATACCTCCGCCTTTCCTAACCAGCCCCATCATTGGCAAATAATGCTCCACGTAAAATTCTCTGGGATGACATTCGTAGAATATGTCCAAGCCACCGAAGTCCGTGTTTCAAGATAGTGATAGCAATTGAATTATCGTCACTGTGCCCGAACACGCGATGACGAAACTCTGCATTGCTAACATGGTGTTGCCGCTGGATGTCAGCAACCCTTCGGAGACAACGATGGTCAGACATCAAACATCCTCAACTCAGAGAGGCCAGGTTTCACAAGCATAGAGCAAAACTGCTCTCACCGACCTTTTACAGCCAGACTGACATCGCAAAGGCGCCAAAGATGGACTAGATCGACACAAACTGCTATGGATTTCACTATACGTGGATCTCATCGACATCGTAATCATAAAACTATAGTACAAGCACGTAGACAGATTCGAAAGCAATCACTTAATATCTAAATGCAGTAGTTCAACATCTTACCATCCAAAACTAAATTGATCGATGCTTCTAGAAAATGTACTTATGCTCACATTAGATAGATGTCGAATGGTTCACTAAAATCTCAAATTACTTAGCGACTTTGATTCTTCAGGTATCCTAATTTGCTTTTTGACGTTGGCGGACGAAAAATCCAGCACTCTATACCCATTGTATATGTTACTCTATGATTTGGACCAAGTACACTATTGATCTAAACCTTCAGTCAATGTTGGGGAAGTCAATCTCAATCAGATACTCATGAATAACATTTCGCAACACAATCGACGGACGATGTGATTGGACCTACTGTCAGGGAATGTTGTAGAGTATATGATCAAATTTGGTAACACGCTCCCCAGACACCTCCTAATGAATTCCATCTGAGTGCACAGAATAAAAAATATACAAATTCATACCAACCTCCATTAACTCATTGCTAGACAATTACGTATGCATTTTCGACCATACTTCTAAATAATATGTTTGCTAGACATTGAATTGAGCATATGATACTGAAGAGATCTCAAAGAAAGTCATAGTGCTGTGAACAAGAACTCAGATGAGGAATAGCAATTTACTGTTTAATACGAAATTACGGAGTGAGTTCGAAAAATATGAAAACTATACATTAATTACATCATTCGCACATCTTCCTTTAAACACTCCAATTATTGTGTTTGGATCGCTCTCAGATTTCTTTCCTGTATTGTATCCTTATATGCAATCTTTCCTTTATATATTACACCATTGAGTTGATTGCTTCTATGAATTTGGTGTTGATTTTGTTGTGCTAATGAGGTGTGGCAACTTGGACCGATGCACATATGTGCCTGGTCCTACATTGTAACTGACTGACTGACTCTACATTACGAACATATTGTTGGCAATCCTTCGCAGGCGATAGTGATTAAATTCAGAGAACCGTTTAACATCCTCAACTCAAAGAGGTAATGTTCCACAAGCATAGAGCAAAACTGCTCTCACAGATGCGTTGTAGATTCGATCTTTTGCAGCTAAACTAATATCACTTAGGTACCAAAGATGACCCAGATCGTCTTAAACCCCTCTGTCTTTCATTATACGTGAATTAATGTCATCACTCACTCCACCACCAGCACTTATGCAGCTACCCAGATACACAAACTTCTCGATCACTTCTATCTGCTCAGTATCCAGGATGATTGCAGGTTCAGGGTCCTGCTAGTCATGTAAAGGTTCTTTGCACTTGGAAGGCGCAAAGTACGTGCCGTACCTACGGACACTAATTGCCAATTGATTAAGTGCGGATTGCATGGCTTGGATATCATAGCACAGTTGGACAATGTCATCCACATAATCAAGGTCGAGAAGCCTTTCTTTAGGCAACAGATCCACACCACCATTACTTACATCCATTCCAGAACGCCATTCAACTAATCGTGAATAGAATGTACATGAACATTGTTATGTCCCGATAAGCATAATAAATGGTAACTTTTAGGATCCATTTATGGACCAATACTATGCGTATATTTTTATTGTATAATTGCTAAATGACTAAACTATACATATTTATATCCCTATTATTATGAGCTTTATTTTGACCTATGAACTATTATTATACGATCTACCATTCTTGAATTATGCCCTGTCTATTAATTACTACCTCCCACACCCACATTTGGTTAATTCTTGTACAAATGTTGTTTTCTATTTTATGGTACGGTGTGGTCTGTTTGATTGGTATATAAACCAAGTATGCTTGAAATAAAGGATTGATATTGCAGAGGCTGAGACTGGTGTTCTGGACTTAACTGGCTGAGCTAGACACGAAGCAGGATAAATCAGGACTCTAAACTGCTCTCACGGGTTTTATGCATCACTGGCCCAATCGATAATTCACTGCTCTCTAATTGGCGGTATCTTTGCGTGGTACATTAGTAGTACACATAGCCCACAAGATATAACAATCATAAAATAACAAAATATAAAGAAATAGTAAAGTTGAGTCGCTACATTTAAATATATTTATTTGAGAAAATTCAAAATAATGACAATCGGTATAAAAGTGTATACATAGATATGACAGAAGTGAAGCGGATAGAATTACATAAAATTATTTAAAAGAAAAGAATCAAGTTAAAACATATCTTATTCGACAAAGATTTAAGTTCTCTTTTGTTGCATTTAAAAATTTGTATGGTATACCTGAAACAAAAAGATTGATCAGAGAATGAATAAATGTCAGATAAAAACTAACAAAATTGATAAATTTTTAGCTCTTGAGAACCACATAATTTAAGTCTAAGAATGATCTTACTGAACTGTATATATTGTCTTTGAACAGATTAGTAAATAGACATTTATGTAGACAGGAAGTGTAGAAAACAATTGGATAACCTATCATCTCAGTATGGTTGTGAATGAATACAACTTAAGTCATTCTCATAACGTGTTCTTTATTATTTGATGAGTTACGTTTTTATTATGATGAAGTTATATATATCTTATCAATGGGATGTAATGTATAACGAATGTATAGTCATTTTTAATCCAAGGAAATCATTAAATAAGGAGGGAGAAATGATTCATTTTAAAGTAATTAATAAATTTTAGCTATGAACTGTAAAATAAAATTAAGCAGAATAATACATAATAATTTCTATGATCAAAACTTACCTTTGGGAATATATACAATACAAGGTTTTGTTAAAGGAATTGCAAATTTCGCAATCTGTACAGCATAAAGACTGTAAGAACTGTTATTATTCATAAGAACAGGAGGACTTGACATCATTTTGAATACATTTATAGCGTTCGGATCATAATGAAGTTGACGTCTTTCTTGTTCTTTACTGACAATCCTCGTGAGATTTGCATCCATTTCAAAACAAGGTATACGAGTCTTAGTTCTACTTGGGAAAGCACCAGATAAAGCTGGAACTACGTAACTCGAGTATTCCATAGTAGAAAATTTGAATGGCGAAAATTGTGCATTTTCCGGATATATCACCTCTATAATTAAGGATAAAATTATTACCCATTACTGCTTATAACAGATTTAAAAGTTATTACAAAAATGAACAGACATTTTGTTTTACGAATGATAATCAGAGGAACTGAGATAGCCCATTACCATATATTAAAATGACCTTCAGGTAACCGAAGCTAGGTGTGCTCAACAGGCTAAGTAGATATACCTAAATGTTAATAATAAAATATTAATTTCATAATGATCGCCGAATGTTGATACTTACTATAGTAAGAATATGAGGCGATATCTTCTTGTAATTCACCATAATATCTTCAAGACAGTTCTCCAAACATCAAAATAAGCAGGGACAATTCAATTTATTTTAATTACTAGTTTCACCACTTAAGAAAATATAGTAAATTCGAAGGTTAAATAATTCACCGATTAGTTCAAGAATGATCAAATATTGAAACACAGATAATATCAGTTTTAGTTATACTTCTAGTCAGTCTATCTTTGTCTAAGCAACTCTATCCATTTAATGTCCTTCCTATGTACTCCTTTTGTCGGTGACCTTGTGAATCAGATCTATACTTATTTTTATCTAGATCTGTTGTCTATAATTTAATTGGTTATCTGTGATTTACATGCTTTTTGCTTCATAGAAGGATTGACATGCTCTGTACCTACTGATTTTAAATAAATATCCTTATTCACCGATCATTCAGAGTTCATCTGCTCTTCACATGCACACCTGAAATATACGTATCCTCAATACAAGTTGTATTTAACTTTTATTATCTACATTGTGTTAAGGTGATTAGTTGACAAGATGTATATGAAACTGAATGTAAGATAAACATTTCATTAGCATTACGCAATTACCTCCGTCACTTTGATAAAGTCAACTCAGTGCTCATTCCTTTATGATCTATCTTTCATAGCTTCAAAATAGTGCTTTTCGTATGAAACCTTGCTACAAAGTACCTTTTCTCTTTGACACTACCAAATACACTATCCTTTAATTAACTTTTTAGTGCCTAAATGAGGCACTTTTCCTCTCCCCTTTGTGTTTAAATGCTATTCCTGTTTATCCAACTAGTCTTCTTTGGTCAATATAGTCAGATCCTCGAGTTAAGTTTACGGTTAAAAAAATTGTCTACACTAACTGATGTGTGGACGAAGAAAATAAGGATTGGTTATTTGCTTAGTCAGACTAGTAGATAGTCTGACAGGTATTAGATGAGTTAAATATTTTTTCGACCCTTATTATTATTGTGATTGTTGTCAGTTTTTGGTGTGGGAGTATACATACGTCCCAGTCAGGTTAGTCAGATGTTTTGGATCTGAGGTGTGTTGAAGTACAGTAGATACTGGAAGGGTATCTAGTGTACATATTTGTCTAAAGTAAATTATAGTCCCATTAGTGTAGACGGTAAAAAACCGAGCGTTAATTAGTGTGGTCTAGTATCCGTCCTTATCATTGTTAATCACTTTTGTTTTAAAAATAGGTCACCATTATATTTAAACAAAGTAGATTTGAAATAATCTCAGTCAATCAAACTTCTATTTGGTTGTTTGTTTAAACGTTAATGACTGTTCACTGATTACAGATCACCTACCTAAACAATATAAAACATATTCTGCATATGAGAACGATGAAGCTAATTTACTCAAAGTAATATTAACGTTTGTAAAAACCTTTAGTCAAAATATGATTGGATAAGAAAAAAATAGGACTAAAACATATTATTCAATACTTAGTCTGTTATTTGACATACGTTGGAAAGGAGATGCATCATTGATCCCGATAGGTAACTGTGTTTCTGTATGTGATATCCATTCAACATCTGGATCCAACTGAATTCGCATACATGGATCTGTTTCAGGTTTCTGTGCACCTTTTTATAGAAAAATAGAAGTAGTGGCATAATTGTTAATACATTTTAGATTAAAATATTTACTTATGAGCACCTAAAACTTTATGGTAAAAATTGCCGTAAAAGTTACTGTCAATTGACTATCAGACTCAGCTTCCTAGATACCACAAATGACTAGCTACATTTTACCTGACATTTTATTTATTTATTTATTTTATGGTTTCATTCAATATTATATTTTGGTACAACATAGAATCCTCAGCGCAAAATATTTCAACAAATTTCTTATACAAAAAAACAGAAACAAAGACAAGAAAAGGTTAATAAAAAAATCTCAAAAACAGTACAACTTTCCAAATGAGATACATATTAAGAATGCAGATTATTGACTAGGTTAACTCTAACAACTTGTTCGTCACAGAGTATATTTGCTAGGTAAGGTATTATAGAACGTTCATACTTTTGCTTGCGTGCTTGGATTTTAATGTAATTTCGTCTCGTTCTACCAGAAGATATACAAGGAGAAAGATATGAGTGAAGGGGATGGTTAGTATCTGATAAAATAACATCTGCCAGGAGTTTGCATGACTTTGGATGTCTATCCACAATCATATTAATTATGGTCTCGAAAGATTCACCACATAACTTGCTAACTGCCTTCAGCACTCTCCGCAGTACAGCAAAGTCTTTTCTCAAAAGCCCGGGAAAAAATAACGGAGAACAGTAAAGAATAATAGGTAATATGCAAGAATTGACAAATTGTAGGAGTAAATGACGAGTGATCCCAAAAGTATGCAACCTCTTAATGTAGTAAGTCAGACGGAAAACTTTCTTCGATAACAATAAAACGTGAGAAGACCAAGAGAGACCAGAGGAAAAGATAACACCAAGATAATTGACCGTCGACACTGTGTTTATCAATGAGTCGCCAATGGCACAAGCATCATGGGATCTCAAAATGCTGTTTAGATGCCGTTTATATCTAATGCTAAAGTTAACAGTTTGACATTTAGACGGATTAATTATAAGACCATTGACAACAGACCAACAATCAATACGAGACAAAAACTCATTCATTTCTATGGGATGTAAAGAGGAAGAGATAGGCATACAAACAGTGAGATCGTCTGCGTATTTCACAAGTGTTTACTGTGGAGGATGGCAGATCATACAGAAAAAAAGAAAAAAGAAGAGGTGAAAGAACAGCTCCTTGTGGTACACCTTCATAAGACACTAGAGACTCTGAACACTTTCCTCCAAACACTGTGTACTGTTCCCTTCCAGAGAGGTAGGAACATAGCCAGTTGGTTATCCAGCTGTCAATGTTGATTAACTTGCTAGGTAAACGTTGTTTTGATATAGAATCAAAAGCTGAAGTATAGTCCAGGAAAGCGCATCGAACATACTTCTTACCCTTTTCTAAGTTGAACACAATATTGTGATGCAGAACAGCAACAGCATCTAAGGTGCTTCTTTTGCATCTGTAAGCAAACTGATACGGATCAATGTGCTCTTTTATCGCAGGCTGAAGTGGAAGTATTAATAATTTTTCCATTATTTTGAGGAAGAGTGAAGTTATTGCAATAGGTCTACATTTCACATTCTTATCACCAGATACTTTCTTGGGTACAGGGATTACCTTCATCTTTCTCCACATTTTCGTTATGAGATTAGGAGAGAATGATCTGTTAAAGATAGTAGTGAATGGATAACATAGGACGTCAGCACACTTTTTAAAAAGGAGGTTCGGGATATCATCAGGTTCTAAACATCGGGATGAATTTAGTGACTGGAGACATCTTCGGACATTAGTTTCAGTGAAACTAGGAACACAGCTATTTTTTAAACCCGTGAATAAAGGGAGCATTATATCAGATGACTGACGTACAAAAGACTTATTTAAATCACGAACATTTAGCTGGTTATCGCTCCTAATCTGTATGTCACCTGTAAGTTCTTTAAAGAGTTTCCACATACTTGGAGTGTTTTACAAGACAAGAGTTTTTGAGTAAACATAGAGTTGAGACGACTTATCTCGAGGTTTATCAGACCATTTAGCTTACGAACTTCACTAGGGTTTTTCTCCTTGTACAGTTTTTCTTTTACCCTCCGTAGTCGTTTTAGTTGTGAAGATGTAAGTCGATCAAAACTTACAAAAATAGTTTCAGTGGGACAACAAATATCAAAACAGAATTTAAGATAACAAGTGATAACATCAGAAATGATTTCCAGTGAGTCATCTGTAAATAATTCCCAGCTAGTCGTATGAAACATATTTTTTAGATTTCGGATATTTTCTTCTGAGTAATTCCTATATTTGACTTTCGTGGTTTGATTTAAGAGTGTACTCTTCCCATGCTTTCCATATACTTTAGATAGAACACGAATTATACAGTGATCCGAGCTAGACAATGGAGCACGTTTACGAATCACATATATACCTACATCATTAATGAAAACGAAGTCTAAATGAGCATCCAACCGAGTAGGAAAATCGACTACATTTTGATGACCTAGTGATGTAAGGAAGCTACAGTCACATGAATCGAAATCACCACATACAATTGAAAGTGAATCACTGAAGGCAGTAACAGCGAACTCAGTGAATTCATCAGCGAAAACAGATGGCGCAGATGATGTGCAGTTTGGAGTCACATAGATATTGGTAACATAAACATATTTGTATTTATTCAGATGTTTTGGACGGCATCTTAGAGCTAAACAGTCGATAAAGTCATTTGAAAACTTGAAACACGCAAACGTAGATCGACACCAGTTCACGTTTACAAAAGTAGCTAGACCGCCACCACACCTCTTTTTATTGTTTGATCGATCCTGACGATAAATTTTGAAATCACGTAGGGATACTAGGCAGTCGTCCTGCAAATCGTTTAACCAAGATTCTTGGATTGTGATGACACCACAATTACGATACATATTTTGACTTAGTAGGAATTGAACATAGTTCATCTTTTTAATTAGTGATCGACAGTTAGAATTTAGCAACTCGGTAATCGACATACGATCAATGTTCAATCTCTTCAACGCATATTGCCAACCACCACGTCTTTTATTATAGTTTTTTGTAACTTGTGCAGCGAAAGGTCGTAGGCTTTTCATAAACGCGACTGTATAGGTTATGCGATTAATGGACATAATGAGACGTTAACACAAAAAGAAAAAATACCCAGATAACTTGTTGAAATAATTAGATGGCAGAAACAGGTAGCCCAGATATTCAAGCAGGCCTAGTACCCAGTAACTGTAAGAAAATAATACAACCATAGGTTCAAAACGAACAGAAACTTCAGGGTCCTCTGATGCGGCCAAAGTACATTAAAATATGTTTATCTAGTAATGTGTACTTCATACAGTAAGCGATATTTCAGAATAAATTTACTGAATAGATCTTTGATTCAGTACACACTTAATAAATAAGACAACATATAAACTGTGAAGAAATTAGAATACAGGCAAGATGAAAATAACTCAGAATATTAAAAAAAAGTAACATCACACGAAACATACAACAACAGATAAGTCAGTAACCTAAATATTATTATATTTGGCTCTTATAGTCACATACCTTTCAGTGATCTGTAACGTTTGGCCAATTTTTGAAGGCGTTTTGCTCGATTAATTTTTTCCTTCCTTAAAAACTGAGTACGATTATTTTGACAACGTTTTAAACGATTGAGAAATTTTTGACGTCTGTTAATCTCATCTGGATCAGGTAATATAGCTAATCCAACTGGTTTTTGATAAACTAAACCATATTCATCTTTATCCGGTTCGTAAACAACTACTTTATTCCTATCATGTGTAGCTGGTACACGTAGTCGTTTACTACGTCGTAAATGGCCATCACTTTGTATAAAACTTTTAGTAGGAGGTCGTTTTGATTCTTGTAAAAAACAAAATTAACAAACAGGATAGTGTCAACTAATGAAAAAAATAAACATCAGGAAATAGCATTTAGAAAAAGTTTGAAATACAAATATTTTTATTTGTGAACTGATTATTACTATACCATCGTCGAAAACAAAGAAACATACTGTCCCAACATAGGACTCCTCAGCGTTTCGCATCCACAACCCAGCCGGGGTCGAGCTCAGGATCATTAATCTTGCGCGCAAACATGATAAATAGACCACTGACTAAAACAATACATGTACGCCAATGGATCCCGATTCAGTGGTATTGAGTTTAAGTGTTCGCCTATAAAGCCAAAAGTCTAAGACTCGATACCGATGAGATTTTGGATGTATACTGCTGAGAAGTCTCATACTGAGACGAAACGGCTGCTCAGTGCTTCCTGCTTTTTGGTAGTAGTATGGCTAAAATCAGTTCGTAATTTAAATCATGAAAACTCTTCAATTTCTACAATCCCTAGTTTACTAGTACACAAATTTGATAATCTTTCATGTGGTAAGAAATATAAGAAAAACTGGTGCTAAATATTATTCACGTTGACAAGTATAATAATTAGGAAATTCCAAATAGTATGTTAAAATAACTCGGCCTATAGCCCTTCAAGGCACACTGCCGATCTCAAGACTGGATACAAGAGAAGTTTTTAGCATGGAGTCACCAACTCCATCCGGAAGAAAACAACCTTGCTAGTGAAAAAGCTAACCAGAAAAAATCACTTAAAGTCTATCCTGAGAGTTTAAGGATCTTCATATATACGAATCATGATGACTCATGGTGAAAGCAGAGAATCTTCGAAAATCACAAGGCCGATGCCCCTGCTAATAACCAGAGCGACAATTAACATAGGTACTGTTGGGGACGATAGATCTCCCAAAACTCACATTTTGTAATTTTATCTTATCGATTAAATGTTTAAATATTTAAATGGTAGTCGATTGACGAACTTATTGATGAATGTTTAAAAATTTATATGACAATATCGATTTTATATATTTGTATAAATACGCTTGATTTGTGTGTCTGATTGACCTGGCATCTGCTGGTTGCCTGTAGAATACACTTCTACGTCTTACCAAGAATTCTTGATCGAGTTAGCTGAGTCGGGGACAACGAACCAGAATAGCCTATCGAGTCTCTGAATCCTTTGATCCGATCGATAAGTCACTGCCCTCTAATCGGTGGCCTTTGAGATATAACAGGTACATCGAATGTCCGGACAAGGTGGAAGACCGGGAGTCCCAGTCGAATAGCTACAAAAATTAGGAAATAGAACTTGGAGGTTCTCTGAAGAGGAAATTCGGAAAACACGCTGGACATTACAGAGATCATTACACTGAATCATGAGGTAGGCCTTAACTCGGAATCCTGAGGGTAAAAGAGAAAGAGGACGATCAAAGCACAGATTGTGTAGCGAATTGGAGGTAGATATCAAGAGAATGAACAGCAATTGTAAAAAACTGGAAAGAGTCTAGGACGGAGGTGGTTGGAGAATCCTCGTAGACAGTGAATGCCCCTCTACGATGGGTGATAAGCGTAAGTAAGTAAGTATGCCAAGATATTGAACGTATACGTATAACAATGAATTAATATTCCGTCACATAAGTGTGTCCTGTCACAACGAAACGTTCGAGTCTTATATGGAAGTTCTAGGTGTACAAGGACAAGGTAGTAAGCAGTTGCATGATAAGCTCATCTTTAAGAGGTGGATTCCAAATAATTACCAGTAGGACAAAACCTTACCATTAAAACCTTCAACCACTTTTTAACAGTCGGAACTTTAACTAATTCCTGATCCTGAAAATATCCTTCCTAAATAAGCTAACTATGATTAGTTTAAATTATATAAACTAAGACAATTGCTTGTGTACTTTGGAAGCAAGAAGTTGATGTGAATACATTATTGTAACCTTGAAAAGAAACTTTCCAGTAAAAAAAATATAGAATATAATAGATTTTATAACAAAAACTGGTCATCATGTCAGTCAATCAGCTACAACGTAGGACCAGGCACATATATACATCGGTCCAAGTTGCCACACCTCATTAGCACAACAAAATCAACACCAAATTCATAGACGCAGTTACCTCAATGACAGTAAAAAACCAACATTTCATAAAAGGATATGATACAGAGAGAAGGAATTAACCCGTAGAAAGAAAGGTACAAAGTGATTTTAATCTCACGGTTTAAGTGAAAACGAAGAGTATATACACCTATACTATTGTGATCGATTCTGAGTCATGTCACACAGAGTCTTCAACCATTGGTTACGATAGCCGCACGGACCCCAACCAAGTAGTCTGCCTCTACCAACATGGCTAAGACTAGAAGTTGGTGACTTCAATCACCGATGGCACGTTTTGGTTTGGCCGCTCCTAAATTTCTGACAACCGTCTCTAACACTAGTCGGCATTGTGCGTCGTGGTAATCGGTGGTTCAGGCATACGTAACACATGGCCCAACCATCTCAGTCGATGAAGATTTACAAAGTCATCATGTATTCAGGTCACAAATAAACTATCTTTTATTTTTTCTCCTTAAAACGGTGAACCTTATCGTAATGATAAATAAGATGATGAAATATAGGAAAAATAACTAATCAACTGACTGAATGGTAAAAACTGGCAATCGTATGGAGTACACCACGGAAGTTTAATTCTTGATAACGATAACGAGGAAGTGGATGGAGATAGATACTTTGAGTCTTGAATGCTAGATAACGCAGTCGATTCAAAAAAGGATCCCATATTTTCTTTATTTTCACTCTGAGTCTATAGTTGAAATACAAATGAAAACATGAATAAATATGTACGAACAATAACTGGTGATACTTCGTCAGTAACAGGAAATAAAGAGATAAAACACAAAAATCGGACAACAGACAAGAATTGTAAATGGCTGAATCTATTGACTTCAAGTCACTGATACTACGTCACTTTTAATATAAGCTAGAAAAATTTAATTGGTGATTTATTTGGTCAACGCTTAATGAATATGCATACAAAAAACTTAACTAATCCAACATACTAAACACCAAATTCATCAAAAATTTACAAACTGATTATAATACGTAATGATCTGTCGTTAGAATTGTTAAAATGTGAACAACAGAAATAGTCTTATAAAAAATGTCCAACAAAACCACTAACTAGTAAGGATATTCTTATCTAGGATTGATCATAATTAATGAAACGGATTCAACTACATGAAGTATACCTTGTAGCCACAAACTAGCATTCAGAAGAGTATTAAATATATCCGATTTGGTGACTAATTAGTTATTATTTATTGAATTCAACTTTTAAAAAAAACAGATTGTCAAAACTAGGTATTTTAAATAAGGTTATACGATTGTAAAATTTAACTTCCTTCTTACTGAATGATGTCACCAACACTTTTCATTTGGACGATAACAGAGAAATTGAACTTGTGAATTATATGACAAAATGATTCATCTAAAACAGTTTGAATAATTCAATGCTAAAAGCCAACGTTAACAATAGCAAATTAACTTGAATTTTTAGTCAATCGTGTTGGCTTGTCAAATTATGTAGTTTATTTAATATAGGTGCGAGTAGATAATTCGGTGAAGGAGCAATTTAAAGCACAATATAATCGTATTTTTCAGTGAAATTCAATAATTTTAACTGGATAAATTCAACGATAAAAGACATTCAAGTAACTTAAACTATTTTTGATAATTAAGTTTTTCAAGAATTACATTTAACACGAAAACCATGAAGTTTTTCTAAAACTCAACAAAAAATTCATTAAGCCAGAAACATTTCATTGACAAAGATAATAAAATTTAGGAAGTACATGGCTTACCAAGGAACCATCTTGATGAATTAGCTTTTCCGACAGTTCGTCATCAAAATGAGCAAGATCACTTTCATCATGAGCGATCGGACCAACAGATACTCTGGGTTGAGAATTATCTGGACTATCAAAGTATACTGTCCATGGAAAAAAAGATAGAGGGTGTGAGATTTTGATTTGTAACTACGTAAATAAAAGTAGTGTTTTTATAACAATAAGTCTTTTAAAGTAGGATTTAGCACTATTTAATTATTTCTAGGATTAAAGTTCAAGAACTGAACTTCACTACGTTGTTTGTCTAATAAATAAGGTCAAAAACATTTTACTTTCTAAAATTTGTCCCGTTTACGTTTACATTGGTATTTTCCAGCCGTTTTTCGTCTCACGTATATGTGAAAATTTGTATATAGACAAGGGTACCCATATTCAGTTTGTCAGAAATCATTAGAATCGTGAAACGGCGAACAAAAAGCAAGAGATCACACGAGTCCAATGTTTTCATGAACAAAGAAAGTCTGTATTCGTCCTTGTGATTGTCACTACTAATGGCTTAAAAAGAGCTTTCTCATTTACCTTGTTACCTTCATAAATATGCTTTAGTCTTTCATGAACTTTCCCAGATTTTTTTCAATTTATACCAAAGCCTTAGTGGTCTAGTCCGTGCATTTATTAAAACAGACTATGTAAAACTGGCAGTCCTTCAGTATAATTTAGTATCTATTAGGAAAGTTTTTCATTGAATGTAATGTATTTGAAATACCGTTTCTCTCTGGTAAGAAAAAGAATGCTAAACGAAACTTTAAAACTTAATAGATATTACTCAAATGGTAAAGGTCAGCTTTAATAAAATATGTATCTTTACAACATTCAATCGCTGAATGAAAAGAAAAGAGACGAGTATTGTAAACTTATGTTTCATTCCAGTATCCAATAGATTGTAAATCTTAGGATCGAGTCTCAGATTATTGTTATTTATATTCTCATTGGGGTAAAAAACTTAGTAGACAACTGTTATTTTGTCTCTGTAATCTCTTTATTGTAAGCTTACCCAAATGCCCTGGTACGGCCGAGAGTGGGGAGAATCCGCTCTCCCTCTCGAAATGCTCTCACATGGCCATGCGTATATAGCCTCTGCCAGGGAAGTCCTACTCACTGCCTTCTCGTGGCGTGGGTGTTGTTCACGAAAATGAGAGGACGAAAAGCGAATGTCCGGCATCGGCTTTAACCAGATCCCAAATCAATGGTGCACATGGGCTGGCTCCAGTATCCTGAAGGAACAAATGGCGTATGAACCAATCGTTGGTCACCGGCTACCATGGGACTGCATCTCCTCACGATGCTCCACTGCCTTGTGGGTCAGACGTTCAGGTCGAAGGCTCGGGGTGTGGCCCCCTAAGAAAACCACCTGCTTCGGTTTGGGCACCCGGACAGTATCACAGCCCTCACACAAATCAATTGAGATTCGTGTGGCGCATATGTATTTGGTGCCTCCCTGTAACTATACCTATGTGTTAAAATAATAATAATAATAATAATACCAATTAACTGCTGTGATATATATCTCGATTATTATTAATCCACTATGTACTGTCTGCTTCGCTCTTTGCTGTTTATGGCAGTCAGGCAGCAAAAAGGTAGGACCAGGCACTATGCTTATGGCATGATTGTATGTATAGTACGATTTCATATTGAAGTGTGTTGAAGTCTGATAATTTATGTATATAAGCTAATAAGTGTTTGAGATATATCCTGAATGGTTGAGATATAATAATAGGAACTTGGCTGCTTTAATCTGACACAAGGCTAGAGATAGACGACATGGATATCGGTGGACCCATAGAAGAAAAAGCTTACGTTAGCTCAAGGTTAATTGTATTTGTAAGGACGTATTATTGATTATAGACAGAATATCATACACTGAGTAGCAAAATTCTAATTGAAATTCTGATTCGCAAGCTTAAAAAATGTTATAAATTCAACACACAAGATTAAAAGTAATGACTGGAAGATTCTATCGCGTAAATGATCAGTCACATTTTTTAATGAAATATGAAATGTCAGGTGTTTCAGTATTTATACAGTCAATAAATGGATTTGCATGAACATTTAAATTTAAATAAACAGCTAATTAATTGTTAATATGACACTAAAACATATGCGACTATAATAAAGCAGAATACAGTTAATCACGATGTAGCGACTGTATTAACACAGATCAATATAAATAATAAGCACCCAAAATAAATCATTTATACAGAAGATACACATAGAAATGATGGATCGAATAAGTCCAAACAACTTACCAACGATTGGCGCGAATGTTACACTCGGACGACCTTTAGGTATGATAGGCAAATTTGATAAACTTCTTGAAGAATTCTTAACAAAACACAAAAATATAATAACCTCAACGTTATGAGTAGACAGACCAAACAAGACATAAACGAAGAAAGCGATTATAAAAAAAAATTACCTGAAGACTATTATGCCCTGACAAGGAAGAACAAACACCTATAGAAAAGATATGGGAAAAACCATTATTAATAAAACATATTAGATTACAAATAACAAAAACAAAGAACGAAATAAACACCAAAAACAAACAATCAAAGAGAGAATAAAAAAATCGAATACAAACAATTCAGAAAAATTTAAAATATTCGAATAAAAACAAATAGCAGAATGCATCGCAAAATCGTCTCTACAAAAATATTAGTATCTAACATCAAATAACCAAAAATATACCGCAAAAAAAAAAAAACACAAACGCACGTCAAACATCAGTAAACAAACAACCAAAATAACAGATAAACAAATACATACCTTCTGGTATCGCAACATCATCTTCATAACGGTAAGGGATCGGTGACAATGCCTGGAGAGAAGACACTGGTAGCTTCAACATCACCAGACCATCACTCGAAGCATGTTTCACTTCATCTGAAGCAACAACTACAAAACCAACAATCAAACACAGTAAGCATAAACAACACGATACATTGTGTTAATATCACTGAAAGACGCATATACATATACATTTCTTTTTTTATTCATATATATATATATATATATATATATATATATACATGCACATGCATACATACACTCACCTATGTGCTCACACAATAACCTTCATCTTCAACCTGGAATCAATCACACTCTCTAACACACAAACACACGTCGGACATCGATAAACAAATAACCACAATGACTGAGAAAAACAAAGCACATACCGTCTGGAATCGCAACATCATCTTCACAACGGTAAGGGATCGGTGATAATCCTTGAAGAGAGGACACCGGCGGCTCCAACATCTCACTATTATCTCTCGAAACATTCTTCTCTTCATCTAAAACAACACCTACAAAGTTAACAATAAAACACAGTTAGCAAAAATAAGGACATCACAACAGTAACTGCTAAATGGATATGGTGGTTAGGCTAGCATATCGTGGTCACCAAATCGACTTATATGGGCTGTAATACTTGTTCGTTTAGGTATTATCATAACATGCAGGTCGGTTGGAGAACGGTAAGTATGAAATTAGTAACCTCAGGTCTGAAGGAGAAGTCATACTGTTGATTGTACAGTCGTGTGACAACAGTAAAGTGTTTTCTTCAGAAAACCAGCATCTACGGCAATGACGCCTTCTCACAACGGAGGGAAGAAGTTAAAAAAATATCGACTCTGAAGTGATTTTACAACTTACACCACGGATTTACGTCTTCAGTGCCAAGGCCTTTGGAAGTAGGGAGCTAAGAGATCATAAACCTCTCATAAAAGGCTCATGTTTTACCGATCTCAAACTATTGTCCCTTAACCTCCGTCGCCACACTCCCACGTATTCATGGCCAACAGGCTGCTCCAAACTATGCTCACACAACCGTTTATTTCTAGCAAGCATCAACTCCAACCATAAGGGAAGACATTGTCTGACACTGCGACACACACAACCGACTGAACGACGGATTCAAATGGACCACAGTGCCACCAGTCATTGTTGGAGAGGCTCGATAATAGACAACCGCTCATTATAGAGCACATGTTTAGAATTTGATCATATCCTAGTGAGAGCACATGTTTGTCTGTATTTTACTGAAAACATAAAGGCCATAACAAGAACACTCTCTAGAGTTCGACTTAATGGTGAAACAGTCAAGCGTACATTTCAGCAGCAAATAGAAAAACAGTTAGTTAATCATAAAAGTGATATCCACTCCGAGGTAGTTTGGTATGATATTTAAACAACTCGATAAACAGCAGTAATATCTACAAGTAAATTAAACTAAAGCGTTGAGAAACGTCAGTGGATTTCCGTAGCGTCCACTGAACTGATAGATGCCCAGAAACTCATCCGTCTAACTCCAAACACGATGAGGAGTGAGAGCAGCTTACATGTAGACGGATCAAAAGCCTAAGCAATGATCGTGAGCAGCGGCCGGCAGAGAAAGCAAAAGTAATGGAAAAGACAGCAGTAATAGTTAGCAGTAGACAATGAGACTATCTCAGGACTATTATTCACTCTCAACCCATGAGATTAGACCGATATGCAGAACATTTTAGGCAACAGTCCAACTGACCTCCTACTACCCTTCAGTTACCCACTATCGCCAAACAGTCTGAAAGGAAAATCGACATCAGTGCTCAAACTCTTAGTGAGATTGAAAAAGCTATAACTAATCTAAAACGACACAGAGCAGCATGTTCAAATGGGCTAGCTCCAGAGATCTCTAAAGATAGTAGTCTAGTTCAGCAGTGATAATTAGAATATGGGAATTGAACATAATCCCATCTGACTGGTCTCGATCGCTGATTGTCCCAGTTTATAAGAAAGGACAGAAATCCGCTAGTCGTGACCACAAAGGAATCTGTTTGAATAATATAACATCTAATATATTTGTCTCAATAACTAGGGCTCGTGAAGAGTGAAATCAGGACAGTCAGACTGGGTTCAGACCTGAACGTGAACGTATCAACCAAATACTCACCATTTGTCAGGTCCTGGAACATAGACATACTTCCCAACATTTGACTACAGTGTATTTCTTAACCTTAGACTTTAAGGCAGCTTTCGACTCTGTCGAGTGTGAGGTTCTGTGGCAGTGTTTGTCATCAAAAGGCATACCAAAGAAGTACATCAACTTTGTAGAAGTTCTTCACTTCAACACTATTGGTCAAATTAAAGTTTATGGAGAACCGTCAACCTCAAGTGGTGTTCATCGAAACTGTGCAGTTTCTCCACTCTTATTTAACTTCGTCATATATATCCTTCTAAAGATGATGCTCTCATAGTCGAACTTTTCAAAGGTTGGTCTTCTACCAGAAGATTCGCTTATTGACTTGGAATAACCAAGTGATATCGTGCTGTTTGGTGAAGACGCTGAAAAAATCTTGAGACCACTGTTGTCTTAAGCAATAATGCAAACATATTTGAGACGCGATTCTCTCCCTATAAATCAAAAGTGTTAATTCAAAACTCGGCTGCGTCAACCTCTGCATTAATGATAGGGAGTGAAGTAGCTGAGCGTGTCGATCACTCCATTTATCTTGGACGTCTCATCAGTCCTGATGAGTACGTATTTGATGAAACCACGACACGGAATCAAAAAGTTCGGTCGGCTTCTGTGTCACTTATGGAGTGGGTGAGATATTAGTCTGTCAATCAAAGGACGAGTTTACTAATCAGCAATTCGCTTGGTTCTACTTTATGGGTGTGAAACATAGCCAATAAGAACAGAAAATGTTCTCAGGTCATTATTATTCGATCATAGGTGAACCGAAGCATAGCTCATACATTTTTGTCTGCCGAGTGAGCAATGCTGAAGTTACACATAGGATACTAAGTAAAGATTGCCAAATCGATTGATCAGGAAGTGAATTTTCATCGGTTGAGGTGGTTCGTATATGTCTCGCCTATGTCCAATCACCTCCTAAATCAACGAGCGATGTTGTCCAGTGTACAAGTAGACCGGGAGAAAGCTAGGTGGGACCAAGAGAAGCTCCCCATGTCACTAGCCCATGAAGTCATTGATAATTACACTGATTCATATTAATCACTGTAGACTACCTATGTGTGGTCACGTAATTATCGTAACCAATTGCAAGAGACTATGAATAACAAGCCTGAGAATGGTTCGCAATACCCCAGACGCATTCACTCACTACCTTCCCTCAAAACATCATTGACGAATTAACACTCCCAATACCCAATCACTTTTACAAATACAGACAATGTTACTAAATCTACAACTCAAAAGTCTGTAAAAAAATATTAGTATCTAACATCAAATAACCAAAAATATACCGCAAAAAAAAAAAAAAACACAAACGCACGTCAAACATCAGTAAACAAACAACCAAAATAACAGATAAACAAATACATACCTTCTGGTATCGCAACATCATCTTCATAACGGTAAGGGATCGGTGACAATGCCTGGAGAGAAGACACTGGTAGCTTCAACATCACCAGACCATCACTCGAAGCATGTTTCACTTCATCTGAAGCAACAACTACAAAACCAACAATCAAACACAGTAAGCATAAACAACACGATACATTGTGTTAATATCACTGAAAGACGCATATACATATACATTTCTTTTTTTATTCATATATATATATATATATATATATATATATATATATATATATATATATATATATACATGCACATGCATACATACACTCACCTATGTGCTCACACAATAACCTTCATCTTCAACCTGGAATCAATCACACTCTCTAACACACAAACACACGTCGGACATCGATAAACAAATAACCACAATGACTGAGAAAAACAAAGCACATACCGTCTGGAATCGCAACATCATCTTCACAACGGTAAGGGATCGGTGATAATCCTTGAAGAGAGGACACCGGCGGCTCCAACATCTCACTATTATCTCTCGAAACATTCTTCTCTTCATCTAAAACAACACCTACAAAGTTAACAATAAAACACAGTTAGCAAAAATAAGGACATCACAACAGTAACTGCTAAATGGATATGGTGGTTAGGCTAGCATATCGTGGTCACCAAATCGACTTATATGGGCTGTAATACTTGTTCGTTTAGGTATTATCATAACATGCAGGTCGGTTGGAGAACGGTAAGTATGAAATTAGTAACCTCAGGTCTGAAGGAGAAGTCATACTGTTGATTGTACAGTCGTGTGACAACAGTAAAGTGTTTTCTTCAGAAAACCAGCATCTACGGCAATGACGCCTTCTCACAACGGAGGGAAGAAGTTAAAAAAATATCGACTCTGAAGTGATTTTACAACTTACACCACGGATTTACGTCTTCAGTGCCAAGGCCTTTGGAAGTAGGGAGCTAAGAGATCATAAACCTCTCATAAAAGGCTCATGTTTTACCGATCTCAAACTATTGTCCCTTAACCTCCGTCGCCACACTCCCACGTATTCATGGCCAACAGGCTGCTCCAAACTATGCTCACACAACCGTTTATTTCTAGCAAGCATCAACTCCAACCATAAGGGAAGACATTGTCTGACACTGCGACACACACAACCGACTGAACGACGGATTCAAATGGACCACAGTGCCACCAGTCATTGTTGGAGAGGCTCGATAATAGACAACCGCTCATTATAGAGCACATGTTTAGAATTTGATCATATCCTAGTGAGAGCACATGTTTGTCTGTATTTTACTGAAAACATAAAGGCCATAACAAGAACACTCTCTAGAGTTCGACTTAATGGTGAAACAGTCAAGCGTACATTTCAGCAGCAAATAGAAAAACAGTTAGTTAATCATAAAAGTGATATCCACTCCGAGGTAGTTTGGTATGATATTTAAACAACTCGATAAACAGCAGTAATATCTACAAGTAAATTAAACTAAAGCGTTGAGAAACGTCAGTGGATTTCCGTAGCGTCCACTGAACTGATAGATGCCCAGAAACTCATCCGTCTAACTCCAAACACGATGAGGAGTGAGAGCAGCTTACATGTAGACGGATCAAAAGCCTAAGCAATGATCGTGAGCAGCGGCCGGCAGAGAAAGCAAAAGTAATGGAAAAGACAGCAGTAATAGTTAGCAGTAGACAACTATTCAGACTTATCAAGCGAACAGGTTTTAACAATCCGGCTGCTAATGAGACTATCTCAGGACTATTATTCACTCTCAACCCATGAGATTAGACCGATATGCAGAACATTTTAGGCAACAGTCCAACTGACCTCCTACTACCCTTCAGTTACCCACTATCGCCAAACAGTCTGAAAGGAAAATCGACATCAGTGCTCAAACTCTTAGTGAGATTGAAAAAGCTATAACTAATCTAAAACGACACAGAGCAGCATGTTCAAATGGGCTAGCTCCAGAGATCTCTAAAGATAGTAGTCTAGTTCAGCAGTGATAATTAGAATATGGGAATTGAACATAATCCCATCTGACTGGTCTCGATCGCTGATTGTCCCAGTTTATAAGAAAGGACAGAAATCCGCTAGTCGTGACCACAAAGGAATCTGTTTGAATAATATAACATCTAATATATTTGTCTCAATAACTAGGGCTCGTGAAGAGTGAAATCAGGACAGTCAGACTGGGTTCAGACCTGAACGTGAACGTATCAACCAAATACTCACCATTTGTCAGGTCCTGGAACATAGACATACTTCCCAACATTTGACTACAGTGTATTTCTTAACCTTAGACTTTAAGGCAGCTTTCGACTCTGTCGAGTGTGAGGTTCTGTGGCAGTGTTTGTCATCAAAAGGCATACCAAAGAAGTACATCAACTTTGTAGAAGTTCTTCACTTCAACACTATTGGTCAAATTAAAGTTTATGGAGAACCGTCAACCTCAAGTGGTGTTCATCGAAACTGTGCAGTTTCTCCACTCTTATTTAACTTCGTCATATATATCCTTCTAAAGATGATGCTCTCATAGTCGAACTTTTCAAAGGTTGGTCTTCTACCAGAAGATTCGCTTATTGACTTGGAATAACCAAGTGATATCGTGCTGTTTGGTGAAGACGCTGAAAAAATCTTGAGACCACTGTTGTCTTAAGCAATAATGCAAACATATTTGAGACGCGATTCTCTCCCTATAAATCAAAAGTGTTAATTCAAAACTCGGCTGCGTCAACCTCTGCATTAATGATAGGGAGTGAAGTAGCTGAGCGTGTCGATCACTCCATTTATCTTGGACGTCTCATCAGTCCTGATGAGTACGTATTTGATGAAACCACGACACGGAATCAAAAAGTTCGGTCGGCTTCTGTGTCACTTATGGAGTGGGTGAGATATTAGTCTGTCAATCAAAGGACGAGTTTACTAATCAGCAATTCGCTTGGTTCTACTTTATGGGTGTGAAACATAGCCAATAAGAACAGAAAATGTTCTCAGGTCATTATTATTCGATCATAGGTGAACCGAAGCATAGCTCATACATTTTTGTCTGCCGAGTGAGCAATGCTGAAGTTACACATAGGATACTAAGTAAAGATTGCCAAATCGATTGATCAGGAAGTGAATTTTCATCGGTTGAGGTGGTTCGTATATGTCTCGCCTATGTCCAATCACCTCCTAAATCAACGAGCGATGTTGTCCAGTGTACAAGTAGACCGGGAGAAAGCTAGGTGGGGCCAAGAGAAGCTCCCCATGTCACTAGCCCATGAAGTCATTGATAATTACACTGATTCATATTAATCACTGTAGACTACCTATGTGTGGTCACGTAATTATCGTAACCAATTGCAAGAGACTATGAATAACAAGCCTGAGAATGGTTCGCAATACCCCAGACGCATTCACTCACTACCTTCCCTCAAAACATCATTGACGAATTAACACTCCCAATACCCAATCACTTTTACAAATACAGACAATGTTACTAAATCTACAACTCAAAAGTCTGTAAAAAAATATTAGTATCTAACATCAAATAACCAAAAATATACCGCAAAAAAAAAAAAAACACAAACGCACGTCAAACATCAGTAAACAAACAACCAAAATAACAGATAAACAAATACATACCTTCTGGTATCGCAACATCATCTTCATAACGGTAAGGGATCGGTGACAATGCCTGGAGAGAAGACACTGGTAGCTTCAACATCACCAGACCATCACTCGAAGCATGTTTCACTTCATCTGAAGCAACAACTACAAAACCAACAATCAAACACAGTAAGCATAAACAACACGATACATTGTGTTAATATCACTGAAAGACGCATATACATATACATTTCTTTTTTTATTCATATATATATATATATATATATATATATATATATATATACATGCACATGCATACATACACTCACCTATGTGCTCACACAATAACCTTCATCTTCAACCTGGAATCAATCACACTCTCTAACACACAAACACACGTCGGACATCGATAAACAAATAACCACAATGACTGAGAAAAACAAAGCACATACCGTCTGGAATCGCAACATCATCTTCACAACGGTAAGGGATCGGTGATAATCCTTGAAGAGAGGACACCGGCGGCTCCAACATCTCACTATTATCTCTCGAAACATTCTTCTCTTCATCTAAAACAACACCTACAAAGTTAACAATAAAACACAGTTAGCAAAAATAAGGACATCACAACAGTAACTGCTAAATGGATATGGTGGTTAGGCTAGCATATCGTGGTCACCAAATCGACTTATATGGGCTGTAATACTTGTTCGTTTAGGTATTATCATAACATGCAGGTCGGTTGGAGAACGGTAAGTATGAAATTAGTAACCTCAGGTCTGAAGGAGAAGTCATACTGTTGATTGTACAGTCGTGTGACAACAGTAAAGTGTTTTCTTCAGAAAACCAGCATCTACGGCAATGACGCCTTCTCACAACGGAGGGAAGAAGTTAAAAAAATATCGACTCTGAAGTGATTTTACAACTTACACCACGGATTTACGTCTTCAGTGCCAAGGCCTTTGGAAGTAGGGAGCTAAGAGATCATAAACCTCTCATAAAAGGCTCATGTTTTACCGATCTCAAACTATTGTCCCTTAACCTCCGTCGCCACACTCCCACGTATTCATGGCCAACAGGCTGCTCCAAACTATGCTCACACAACCGTTTATTTCTAGCAAGCATCAACTCCAACCATAAGGGAAGACATTGTCTGACACTGCGACACACACAACCGACTGAACGACGGATTCAAATGGACCACAGTGCCACCAGTCATTGTTGGAGAGGCTCGATAATAGACAACCGCTCATTATAGAGCACATGTTTAGAATTTGATCATATCCTAGTGAGAGCACATGTTTGTCTGTATTTTACTGAAAACATAAAGGCCATAACAAGAACACTCTCTAGAGTTCGACTTAATGGTGAAACAGTCAAGCGTACATTTCAGCAGCAAATAGAAAAACAGTTAGTTAATCATAAAAGTGATATCCACTCCGAGGTAGTTTGGTATGATATTTAAACAACTCGATAAACAGCAGTAATATCTACAAGTAAATTAAACTAAAGCGTTGAGAAACGTCAGTGGATTTCCGTAGCGTCCACTGAACTGATAGATGCCCAGAAACTCATCCGTCTAACTCCAAACACGATGAGGAGTGAGAGCAGCTTACATGTAGACGGATCAAAAGCCTAAGCAATGATCGTGAGCAGCGGCCGGCAGAGAAAGCAAAAGTAATGGAAAAGACAGCAGTAATAGTTAGCAGTAGACAACTATTCAGACTTATCAAGCGAACAGGTTTTAACAATCCGGCTGCTAATGAGACTATCTCAGGACTATTATTCACTCTCAACCCATGAGATTAGACCGATATGCAGAACATTTTAGGCAACAGTCCAACTGACCTCCTACTACCCTTCAGTTACCCACTATCGCCAAACAGTCTGAAAGGAAAATCGACATCAGTGCTCAAACTCTTAGTGAGATTGAAAAAGCTATAACTAATCTAAAACGACACAGAGCAGCATGTTCAAATGGGCTAGCTCCAGAGATCTCTAAAGATAGTAGTCTAGTTCAGCAGTGATAATTAGAATATGGGAATTGAACATAATCCCATCTGACTGGTCTCGATCGCTGATTGTCCCAGTTTATAAGAAAGGACAGAAATCCGCTAGTCGTGACCACAAAGGAATCTGTTTGAATAATATAACATCTAATATATTTGTCTCAATAACTAGGGCTCGTGAAGAGTGAAATCAGGACAGTCAGACTGGGTTCAGACCTGAACGTGAACGTATCAACCAAATACTCACCATTTGTCAGGTCCTGGAACATAGACATACTTCCCAACATTTGACTACAGTGTATTTCTTAACCTTAGACTTTAAGGCAGCTTTCGACTCTGTCGAGTGTGAGGTTCTGTGGCAGTGTTTGTCATCAAAAGGCATACCAAAGAAGTACATCAACTTTGTAGAAGTTCTTCACTTCAACACTATTGGTCAAATTAAAGTTTATGGAGAACCGTCAACCTCAAGTGGTGTTCATCGAAACTGTGCAGTTTCTCCACTCTTATTTAACTTCGTCATATATATCCTTCTAAAGATGATGCTCTCATAGTCGAACTTTTCAAAGGTTGGTCTTCTACCAGAAGATTCGCTTATTGACTTGGAATAACCAAGTGATATCGTGCTGTTTGGTGAAGACGCTGAAAAAATCTTGAGACCACTGTTGTCTTAAGCAATAATGCAAACATATTTGAGACGCGATTCTCTCCCTATAAATCAAAAGTGTTAATTCAAAACTCGGCTGCGTCAACCTCTGCATTAATGATAGGGAGTGAAGTAGCTGAGCGTGTCGATCACTCCATTTATCTTGGACGTCTCATCAGTCCTGATGAGTACGTATTTGATGAAACCACGACACGGAATCAAAAAGTTCGGTCGGCTTCTGTGTCACTTATGGAGTGGGTGAGATATTAGTCTGTCAATCAAAGGACGAGTTTACTAATCAGCAATTCGCTTGGTTCTACTTTATGGGTGTGAAACATAGCCAATAAGAACAGAAAATGTTCTCAGGTCATTATTATTCGATCATAGGTGAACCGAAGCATAGCTCATACATTTTTGTCTGCCGAGTGAGCAATGCTGAAGTTACACATAGGATACTAAGTAAAGATTGCCAAATCGATTGATCAGGAAGTGAATTTTCATCGGTTGAGGTGGTTCGTATATGTCTCGCCTATGTCCAATCACCTCCTAAATCAACGAGCGATGTTGTCCAGTGTACAAGTAGACCGGGAGAAAGCTAGGTGGGGCCAAGAGAAGCTCCCCATGTCACTAGCCCATGAAGTCATTGATAATTACACTGATTCATATTAATCACTGTAGACTACCTATGTGTGGTCACGTAATTATCGTAACCAATTGCAAGAGACTATGAATAACAAGCCTGAGAATGGTTCGCAATACCCCAGACGCATTCACTCACTACCTTCCCTCAAAACATCATTGACGAATTAACACTCCCAATACCCAATCACTTTTACAAATACAGACAATGTTACTAAATCTACAACTCAAAAGTCTGTAAAAAAATATTAGTATCTAACATCAAATAACCAAAAATATACCGCAAAAAAAAAAAAAAACACAAACGCACGTCAAACATCAGTAAACAAACAACCAAAATAACAGATAAACAAATACATACCTTCTGGTATCGCAACATCATCTTCATAACGGTAAGGGATCGGTGACAATGCCTGGAGAGAAGACACTGGTAGCTTCAACATCACCAGACCATCACTCGAAGCATGTTTCACTTCATCTGAAGCAACAACTACAAAACCAACAATCAAACACAGTAAGCATAAACAACACGATACATTGTGTTAATATCACTGAAAGACGCATATACATATACATTTCTTTTTTTATTCATATATATATATATATATATATATATATATATATATATATATATATATATATATATATATATATACATGCACATGCATACATACACTCACCTATGTGCTCACACAATAACCTTCATCTTCAACCTGGAATCAATCACACTCTCTAACACACAAACACACGTCGGACATCGATAAACAAATAACCACAATGACTGAGAAAAACAAAGCACATACCGTCTGGAATCGCAACATCATCTTCACAACGGTAAGGGATCGGTGATAATCCTTGAAGAGAGGACACCGGCGGCTCCAACATCTCACTATTATCTCTCGAAACATTCTTCTCTTCATCTAAAACAACACCTACAAAGTTAACAATAAAACACAGTTAGCAAAAATAAGGACATCACAACAGTAACTGCTAAATGGATATGGTGGTTAGGCTAGCATATCGTGGTCACCAAATCGACTTATATGGGCTGTAATACTTGTTCGTTTAGGTATTATCATAACATGCAGGTCGGTTGGAGAACGGTAAGTATGAAATTAGTAACCTCAGGTCTGAAGGAGAAGTCATACTGTTGATTGTACAGTCGTGTGACAACAGTAAAGTGTTTTCTTCAGAAAACCAGCATCTACGGCAATGACGCCTTCTCACAACGGAGGGAAGAAGTTAAAAAAATATCGACTCTGAAGTGATTTTACAACTTACACCACGGATTTACGTCTTCAGTGCCAAGGCCTTTGGAAGTAGGGAGCTAAGAGATCATAAACCTCTCATAAAAGGCTCATGTTTTACCGATCTCAAACTATTGTCCCTTAACCTCCGTCGCCACACTCCCACGTATTCATGGCCAACAGGCTGCTCCAAACTATGCTCACACAACCGTTTATTTCTAGCAAGCATCAACTCCAACCATAAGGGAAGACATTGTCTGACACTGCGACACACACAACCGACTGAACGACGGATTCAAATGGACCACAGTGCCACCAGTCATTGTTGGAGAGGCTCGATAATAGACAACCGCTCATTATAGAGCACATGTTTAGAATTTGATCATATCCTAGTGAGAGCACATGTTTGTCTGTATTTTACTGAAAACATAAAGGCCATAACAAGAACACTCTCTAGAGTTCGACTTAATGGTGAAACAGTCAAGCGTACATTTCAGCAGCAAATAGAAAAACAGTTAGTTAATCATAAAAGTGATATCCACTCCGAGGTAGTTTGGTATGATATTTAAACAACTCGATAAACAGCAGTAATATCTACAAGTAAATTAAACTAAAGCGTTGAGAAACGTCAGTGGATTTCCGTAGCGTCCACTGAACTGATAGATGCCCAGAAACTCATCCGTCTAACTCCAAACACGATGAGGAGTGAGAGCAGCTTACATGTAGACGGATCAAAAGCCTAAGCAATGATCGTGAGCAGCGGCCGGCAGAGAAAGCAAAAGTAATGGAAAAGACAGCAGTAATAGTTAGCAGTAGACAACTATTCAGACTTATCAAGCGAACAGGTTTTAACAATCCGGCTGCTAATGAGACTATCTCAGGACTATTATTCACTCTCAACCCATGAGATTAGACCGATATGCAGAACATTTTAGGCAACAGTCCAACTGACCTCCTACTACCCTTCAGTTACCCACTATCGCCAAACAGTCTGAAAGGAAAATCGACATCAGTGCTCAAACTCTTAGTGAGATTGAAAAAGCTATAACTAATCTAAAACGACACAGAGCAGCATGTTCAAATGGGCTAGCTCCAGAGATCTCTAAAGATAGTAGTCTAGTTCAGCAGTGATAATTAGAATATGGGAATTGAACATAATCCCATCTGACTGGTCTCGATCGCTGATTGTCCCAGTTTATAAGAAAGGACAGAAATCCGCTAGTCGTGACCACAAAGGAATCTGTTTGAATAATATAACATCTAATATATTTGTCTCAATAAATAGGGCTCGTGAAGAGTGAAATCAGGACAGTCAGACTGGGTTCAGACCTGAACGTGAACGTATCAACCAAATACTCACCATTTGTCAGGTCCTGGAACATAGACATACTTCCCAACATTTGACTACAGTGTATTTCTTAACCTTAGACTTTAAGGCAGCTTTCGACTCTGTCGAGTGTGAGGTTCTGTGGCAGTGTTTGTCATCAAAAGGCATACCAAAGAAGTACATCAACTTTGTAGAAGTTCTTCACTTCAACACTATTGGTCAAATTAAAGTTTATGGAGAACCGTCAACCTCAAGTGGTGTTCATCGAAACTGTGCAGTTTCTCCACTCTTATTTAACTTCGTCATATATATCCTTCTAAAGATGATGCTCTCATAGTCGAACTTTTCAAAGGTTGGTCTTCTACCAGAAGATTCGCTTATTGACTTGGAATAACCAAGTGATATCGTGCTGTTTGGTGAAGACGCTGAAAAAATCTTGAGACCACTGTTGTCTTAAGCAATAATGCAAACATATTTGAGACGCGATTCTCTCCCTATAAATCAAAAGTGTTAATTCAAAACTCGGCTGCGTCAACCTCTGCATTAATGATAGGGAGTGAAGTAGCTGAGCGTGTCGATCACTCCATTTATCTTGGACGTCTCATCAGTCCTGATGAGTACGTATTTGATGAAACCACGACACGGAATCAAAAAGTTCGGTCGGCTTCTGTGTCACTTATGGAGTGGGTGAAATATTAGTCTGTCAATCAAAGGACGAGTTTATTTAATCAGCAAACAAACAACCAAAATAACAGATAAACAAATATATACCTTCTGGTATCGCAACATCATCTTCATAACGGTAAGGGATCGGTGACAATGCCTGGAGAGAAGACACTGGTAGCTTCAACATCACCAGACCATCACTCGAAGCATGTTTCACTTCATCTGAAGCAACAACTACAAAACCAACAATCAAACACAGTAAGCATAAACAACACGATACATTGTGTTAATATCACTGAAAGACGCATATACATATACATTTCTTTTTTTATTCATATATATATATATATATATATATATACATGCACATGCATACATACACTCACCTATGTGCTCACACAATAACCTTCATCTTCAACCTGGAATCAATCACACTCTCTAACACACAAACACACGTCGGACATCGATAAACAAATAACCACAATGACTGAGAAAAACAAAGCACATACCGTCTGGAATCGTAACATCATCTTCACAACGGTAAGGGATCGGTGATAATCCTTGAAGAGAGGACACCGGCGGCTCCAACATCTCACTATTATCTCTCGAAACATTCTTCTCTTCATCTAAAACAACACCTACAAAGTTAACAATAAAACACAGTTAGCAAAAATAAAGACTTCACGACAGTATTGAAGTTTGTTTAAATCTTTTAAAAATGTGTATTAAGTTCTGAATTGTTTGAACTTCAACTCTTGAAGTTAAAAGACGTTCATAGCAGTCAGTCGAAATTTTCGAGATTTAATGATATGATAATTTTAAAGATTACTGAAATATTTAAAAATGTTTCGTTTTACTAATTTTTAATGACTTACTATTTTTTCGACGCTTCTTCACTAATTGCTTGGATTCAACAATATCATCTTCTTCTGAATCAAGGAAACAATCTGTGATGATTACGCTAACTGGTTTGATTAAGGGTAAAATAGAATCAACAGTCTCCGGATATAATTTACTCTCAGTTGAACCACGAGAATATGTCAATCGGCTTAGCTGGAAAGCATTAATCAATATATTAATAATGAAAAATATTAAGTGACGGACAGTTTGTTTTATTGGTAATAACAAAAATCATGCCATTTGTCGTGAAGTGTTTACGTTCATTAATAGAAAATCATATGCGTTGCTACAAATATCAAGGACAAAACGTTTACTTTACAATATAAAATCTTTCACAAGTAATTTGAAATAACTTTGTTATTATACAATCATTTGAACAGATTTTATTAATATCTAGAGTTTGAAGAGATTGTTAGGATTGTTATTAGTTGGGAAACCACTAAAAACTAAGAATAACTAGACGGCTGTGTTAACTTAGTACGGGACTCCTTAGCAGAGCCCATAACACGACCCCAACGAAGAAAGATAGCTATAAATATCGCGTATTGACGAGTAAATAAATGGACGATAGTCAAAGGGACCTGAAGGTCCGGAGGAGGGTCGCGGATGTTAGTTTTGTAGTGAGATGAAAAATCTCTCTAGTATCTTCTGGTTCTTAATTAGTGTCCAACTAATGACAGTGTATGATTTATACTATGAAATTAATAATCTTTACTTACAGTATAGTTATACAGAAGACTAATGTATCGCGATATATGTCGTTCACATCCTGAGAAATGTATGTACCTATATCTGTTTACCATTTATACAGATATGATATTCAATAGTTGACGCTTGTTAAATCATTAATTGCTGTGTTTCAGTTGATTAGTAAAGGCAAGATATTAAGATGACATAAATTTCATGTATCAATCTTTAATCTGGGCTAAACAATACTTTAGATTTCTGATATTTTTTGTACTTGAAATAAACTGAGAAATTTATAAAATTTAATTGTTCAGATTGTCATTTAGTATCTGCCTACAACTTCAGTGAATACAGGTAAGCGCTCGACAGCAGTATCTTGCGTGGCTTAAAAGAAGCAGTTGCAAATACATTAGGAGTGTTAGGATCAGTTACAGTAAGCTAATCATATATATATATATATATATATATATATATATATATAAATTTCAGTTTTTCTTCTGTTATACACCAGATTATTAGTTACCTAAAACCACTTTCATTTTACATTGGTAAATTCTCTTTTTTTTCTACTTTAATTCAATTGACTTTTTTGTCTAGATTCCGCTTTAAACAAATTTTATTACTCAATTTATCTTATCATCTCATGTAACTAACTTTTCTAACTATCAGTTTTGTTAGATATGTTAGTAAGAATTTTGTCATAGTCTCTGATTAAAAATAAGTATTTTTACAACTTTGAGAATGAATTCGTGAAGAGACATTTCACAGAAATCTCTTTGTTAAATCATTGTCTACTGTACCAAGATTCTAAATAATAAAAAATAACAAGTAAGACGGGGTGACTAATAAAAACGATGACAAATCAAGAATATTACTAACTCGAGTTTTACTTGAAATTCGATGCGCTTCTGATTTACAATCGTCCTCGAATTCATTTACTTTACAAAAAGTAAAATAAATAATAATGAGAATAGTAATAATTGTAATAATAATAATAATAATAATAATAATAATAATAATAATAATAATAATAATAATAATAATAATAATAATAATAATAATAATAACAATAATAATAACGAGAAAATTACTTATCAGTGTATCTTTAATATAACATCAACGAAAGTATACTTATGAAAATTGAGAAGTCATTGATTCATTGTATGACAATGACAGTATACAATAATCTGTAATATATTTCACCGAATACAAGGCTACATTCTCGGTGTTCAGAAACACCGTTTTTGTGAAAGCATTTCGAACTTAAGTAGAAGTGAGATATGAACCTGGAAAGTTGAACCTCTTACCACCGTCTCATATATTCTCATGAAATATTATCCTATATCATTCTTGAGCTATTTGAGTAGTAAGTGGTAAACCTATTATTTATGAAAATCGCATCTGGTTATGCTTGAAGATAAATTTATGTCACGAAATGAAATCAACCACAGAATTCCTATGAAATGCTTAAATAAAACATTAACATTTCAGGATGTTGACCGATGAAGAATTAGTTACTCAATTTCAAATTTTGATTTATGCGCGATTCAATAAATAGAAAGGATTTTTCAACCTGTATTATTGAATAATGATGTAAACTTGTAACGGAATATACTATCTTGAAACCACAAACATGTTGACAAAACACTCTATTATCTCAACAAAATACAATGGAGAGCGACTGGAAAGAGATAAAAGAGGCAATCACTTCAAAATGTCATGAGATTCTGGGCCAAAAGAAGCACCATCACAAGGATTGGATCACTGTTGACACACTGGATAAGATTCAAGAAAGGAGGAACAAGAAAGCAGCAATCAATACCAGTCAAACAAGAGCAGAAAAAGTCAAGGCACAGGCCGAATACACAGAAGTAAACAAGCAAGTGAAAAGGAGCATCAGCACTGACAGACGTAAATGTGTGAAAGATTTGGCATTGACGGCGGAAAAGGCTGCCAGTGAAGGAAACTTGAGACAACTGTATGACACGACAAAGAAACTCTCTGAAAATCAACGTAAACCAGAACGACCAGTGGAAAGCAAGGAAGGCAAGATAATCACCAACATTGAAGATCAATGAAACAGGTGGGTAGAACACTTCAAAGAACTCTTGAATCGACCAGCCCCACTGAACCCACCCAACATCGAAGCAGCACTCACGAACCTCCCAATTGATGTTGGCGCACCGACAATTGAAGAAATCAGCATGGCTATCAGACAAATCAAGAGTGGCAAAGCAGCAGGACTAGACAGCATTCCAGCAGAGGCACTGAAAGCAGACGTAGCGGCAACTGCAAGGATACTCCAAACTCTCTTCAGAAAGATCTGGGATGAGGAACAGGTACCAAAAGACTGGAAAGAAGGACTTCTAGTCAAAATACCAAAGTGAGGCGATTTCAGCAACTGTGACAACTACAGGGGAATCACTCTTCTTTCAATACCAGGAAAAGTCTTCAACAGGGTATTGTTAAACAGGATGAAGGACTCCGTAGACGCCCAACTTCAAGACCAACAGGCAGGATTCCTTAAAGATAGATCGTGCACAGACCAAATCGCAACTCTACGGATCATTGTGGAACAATCAATTGAATGGAATTCATCACTCTATATCAACTTCATCGACTACGAAAAAGCATTTGATAGCGTGGACAGAACAACCCTATGGAAGCTTCTTCGACACTACGGCGTGCCTGAGAAGATAGTCAATATCATACAGAATTCCTATGATGGATTAAACTGCAAAATCGTTCATGGAGGACAGTTGACAAAGTCGTTCAAAGTAAAGACCGGTGTCAGGCAAGGTTGCTTACTCTCACCCTTTCTCTTTTTCCTGGTGATCGACTGGATCATGAAGACATCAACATCTGAAGGGAAGCACGGGATACAGTGGACAGCTAGGATACAGTTGGATGATCTAGACTTCTCAGATGATCTGGCTCTTCTATCGCATACGCAACAACAAATGCAGGAAAAGACAACCAGTATAGCTGCAGCCTCAGCAGCAATAGGTCTCAATATACACAAAGGGAAAAGCAAGATTCTTCGATACAACACAGCATGCACCAATCCAATCACAATTGACGGAGAAGCTTTAGAAGATGTAAAAACCTTTACATATTTGGGCAGTATCATCGATGAACACGGTGGATCTGATGCAGATGTGAAGGCACGGATTGGCAAAGCAGGAGCAGTATATTTACAACTGAAGAATATCTGGAACTCAAAACAATTAGCAACCAACACCAAAGTCAGAATTTTCAATACAAATGTGAAGACAGTTCTACTGTATGGGGCGGAAACCTGGAAAACTACGAAATCCATCGTCCAAAAGATACAGGTGTTTATTAACAGTTGTCTACGCAAAATACTTCAGATCCGCTGGCCGGACACTATAAGCAACAACCTACTGTGGGAGAGAACAAATCAGATCCCAGTGGAGGAAGAAATCAGGAAGAAGTGCTGGAAGTGGATAGGACACACATTGAGGAATGCACCGAACTGCGTCACAAGACAAGCCCTCATATGGAATCCTCAAGGCCGAAGGAGGAGAGGAAGACCAAAGAACACATTACGCCGGGAAATGTAGCTAGACATGAGAAAAATGAACAAGAATTGGATGGAACTAGAAAAGAAGGCCCAGGAAAGAGTGTGTTGGAGAATGGTGGTCGGCAACCTATGCTCCATTGGGAGTAACAGGCGTAAGTAAGTATCTCAACAGAACCATTTATCAGTTAGTTTACCCAGCAGATATGTTACATTATTAAAATAGTTTTTCTAAGTATCATTTCTTTAATAAGTGTAAAGTGAGAATAAATTAGGCTAATTATAAGAACAAAGATCAGAATAAAAACAGTACCCTTTGATAAAAGAAACAGTTGCATAATATGAACATAATATGAGTATAACCACCAGCATATCATAAAAAGTTTATCTGATGTGGAAAAATAGAAAAACAATTTTCATAAACTAATAAAGATTGGAAGAAATATATGAAAAGTACACCACAATAAGGGAAAGTCAATGTGTTCCAACGAAGTAATGAAAAAGTCAACTTACATGACATTAAGGCAGAAATCCTATCTTGTTCCCCAAGAAGACGACGCTTTTTACTCGTAGTACACTATAAAGTAACATTTTTTCCAATATTTGAAATAATTATTTTTATAAACAACAGTAAAAAAAATAAATATTCATAACAATTTATTTGCGAAAATGGGGACACGTTTTCTGTTATATGATATCGCTAACTCGTAAAATCAAATGATGTTCTGTCTAAATTCGATAATTTTACATATATATTAGTCAAGATCCATAACATATAACATTTATAATCCAATTCAATTCTAAATAGATAAGAGGCAGCAGTCAATGCTACTGACAATAACTAAATACTGAACAAATTACTATAGAAAAGCATACATATAATGGTAAGAATGAACACTTCCACTAAAATGTAAAAACCACAAAGAAATATGACTAACATCTTAGTAATTTTTCATATTCAAATAATTAATGATACCATATACATACATTTCAATTGTTTCAGTAGAATGATGATGGGAAAAAGTGCTCGAATGCGTTAATTTCAACAGTTTGTCAATAAGCAGAATCACTGCACATCATCACAACATATAATTTCGCTTATTGAACACGAACAAATTTTTGCACTTGCTATTAGGATGAAGCGGTAGGTTTAGTGGTTAACTTGACTTTAAGCCAGTAAGCCTTAAGTTCGAGGAAAAGTTCACCTAATTCGTTTTGAACAACTGGCAAGTAATTTCAGCAGTCTTATGTAGAAAGTAACACAAAGTAAAATGTCTAGTGAACAAATTAAGTAAAAACTTAACATTTTCTAATGAAAAAAGAGAAAATAATTCACCTTTAAAGAACACAGATCTTGTACAGCCGACATAGATTGCGGAAAGGTACTGTATGAAGCAGTAACACCCGTAGGAAGAGAATATAGATTAAAATTTTTCGTCTTAAATTCAGAAAACGATGAACCTGAAATAAAAGTCAGTAATAAACATAAGATTAAACATAACAAAGGACCACTACAAAAAAAATCAGAAAACTTATGAAAAACAAATAACCAAAAAAGAAAACAGAAAAAATGCAACGAGTCAAGGAAAAGTAAAGCAAAAAACAAAATATACAAACACTAGTCACCAAAAAGCACAATATCAGGAAATACAGAAACACGAAATGAAAAAAAAGAAAACAACCTGAAGCCTCACAAAAAAACACACAAAAAAATCAACACAAATAAAAAAACCTATCAACACATTTTGAAGCACTCACATTCTTCATCACCCTCCGTCAATTTCGGATCAATCGCTGTCAACACGCACACAGCTTTAGATTCACCCACTGTCAAAACAGAACACCCTGAAACGGTGCTCGCATCTCCGTTCACTGATCCTAAAACAATACAGCCCATAATCAGTATCAATAAAATAAGTCGTTCCTAACAAATAACACTCAACTGCACATCCACGAAAATATCTCAAAATTACCTTTCTCAACTACGGGCTCTGCTAACACAGACTCGCTCAATCTCAATGGGGAAAACGATTCTGAAAGTATACAAAAACAATTACACAAAATGTTAAATGCTCATCATCACATCGATAACACACACTCCACTGTCACATTCACAGTAACATTGAATACAATCATCAACGCAAGCACCAATATGACAAGCGAAACACAACACCCACATTATCACATAGACAACTATTCAAAACAAAACAAATATCGACTTTCTCATTCAACTCTCCACCACATAAACACTGACTACTCACATCCACCAACCACACAGAAACGCAATATCACACTTACCACCACTCCCCACATTCCCTCTGACCGTGCCTCTTCTCCCACGCCGTCTACCCACCATCATCTACAATAGAAACAACAACAACAACAACAACAACAACAACAATATTAATCGTAATCATAATCATAACCATAACAACAACATGTACAACACACTAGCTTCCCTCCTACACCACCACCATCAACGGAAATACAACAGAAACACACAACTATTCCCATATAAATTGAACACTGAAAGCTTCACTGAAACCAAACTCACCGGAACAACAGCACCCACAGGCTCCACTGTTCCACCTGAAATTAAAAACACACAAGTTAATACTCTACAAATATTCAACAAAACACAACATTATACTTTCAACAAAACCACAGTGGCTCACCTCATCCAAGAAAACAGTGATCCACGTCGCCACACAACTCACACAAATTAAACCCGATCAACACAATTACACTCACCATTCCATGGAATTACATACAACCATGAATGTATCTGATTAACGAACCAACACCACCAAGTCACAAGTGTCGTAACTTCAATCGGTCACTCAATTCAATCATGTACATCATAACGGAAATTCTTACTCAATCTAGCTGTTCTCTCGTCGGAAAACAACACACTCATCTTCGCACATCACCAAACACCTATCACAACTACAAAACATCGTAGGTACCACTCTACGACTCAACTCCTCAAACAAACACGCACACACACACACAGAACATCATCATGTGACCAAACAAATCCTCAAAAGCAACATAACTATTACAATACCCAACACAACATCACTACTCATGAATCACGTCCCACACTAACAACAACAACAACAACAACAACAACAACCCACACTACCAAACGATGTAACAACAAATAAAATGTCAAAAATCCACAATTACCTCTGTCAGGAGAACTGATCGATCGAGAAGAAACTAGTGAATTCAAATCGCCATTCATTGACATCGATTTCTCTGAAGAAAAAAAAAATTCACCGATTAACAAACACACATCAGTCGATTCTGATACTATCACGTCGAAACAATCAAAGGTTACTAAGGAAAGTTTCAGATGCACATTTTCTACAAATAGCATACAAAACATAAATATACAACTTCAACTCACAACACAAACACACCAAACTCATCAAAACCAATACGTACACTTCTGCACAACCACATAAAACTCCATACATGTTTCAATGCACTCACCTTCTTCATCACCCTCCGTCAATTTCGGATCAATCGCTGTCAACACGCACACAGCTTTAGATTCACCCACTGTCAAAACAGAACACCCTGAAACGGTGCTCGCATCTCCGTTCACTGATCCTAAAACAATACAGCCCATAATCAGTATCAATAAAATAAGTCGTTCCTAACAAATAACACTCAACTGCACATCCACGAAAATATCTCAAAATTACCTTTCTCAACTACGGGCTCTGCTAACACAGACTCGCTCAATCTCAATGGGGAAAACGATTCTGAAAGTATACAAAAACAATTACACAAAATGTTAAATGCTCATCATCACATCGATAACACACACTCCACTGTCACATTCACAGTAACATTGAATACAATCATCAACGCAAGCACCAATATGACAAGCGAAACACAACACCCACATTATCACATAGACAACTATTCAAAACAAAACAAATATCGACTTTCTCATTCAACTCTCCACCACATAAACACTGACTACTCACATCCACCAACCACACAGAAACGCAATATCACACTTACCACCACTCCCCACATTCCCTCTGACCGTGCCTCTTCTCCCACGCCGTCTACCCACCATCATCTACAATAGAAACAACAACAACAACAACAACAACAACAATATTAATCGTAATCATAATCATAACCATAACAACAACATGTACAACACACTAGCTTCCCTCCTACACCACCACCATCAACGGAAATACAACAGAAACACACAACTATTCCCATATAAATTGAACACTGAAAGCTTCACTGAAACCAAACTCACCGGAACAACAGCACCCACAGGCTCCACTGTTCCACCTGAAATTAAAAACACACAAGTTAATACTCTACAAATATTCAACAAAACACAACATTATACTTTCAACAAAACCACAGTGGCTCACCTCATCCAAGAAAACAGTGATCCACGTCGCCACACAACTCACACAAATTAAACCCGATCAACACAATTACACTCACCATTCCATGGAATTACATACAACCATGAATGTATCTGATTAACGAACCAACACCACCAAGTCACAAGTGTCGTAACTTCAATCGGTCACTCAATTCAATCATGTACATCATAACGGAAATTCTTACTCAATCTAGCTGTTCTCTCGTCGGAAAACAACACACTCATCTTCGCACATCACCAAACACCTATCACAACTACAAAACATCGTAGGTACCACTCTACGACTCAACTCCTCAAACAAACACGCACACACACACACAGAACATCATCATGTGACCAAACAAATCCTCAAAAGCAACATAACTATTACAATACCCAACACAACATCACTACTCATGAATCACGTCCCACACTAACAACAACAACAACAACAACAACAACAACCCACACTACCAAACGATGTAACAACAAATAAAATGTCAAAAATCCACAATTACCTCTGTCAGGAGAACTGATCGATCGAGAAGAAACTAGTGAATTCAAATCGCCATTCATTGACATCGATTTCTCTGAAGAAAAAAAAAATTCACCGATTAACAAACACACATCAGTCGATTCTGATACTATCACGTCGAAACAATCAAAGGTTACTAAGGAAAGTTTCAGATGCACATTTTCTACAAATAGCATACAAAACATAAATATACAACTTCAACTCACAACACAAACACACCAAACTCATCAAAACCAATACGTACACTTCTGCACAACCACATAAAACTCCATACATGTTTCAATGCACTCACCTTCTTCATCACCCTCCGTCAATTTCGGATCAATCGCTGTCAACACGCACACAGCTTTAGATTCACCCACTGTCAAAACAGAACACCCTGAAACGGTGCTCGCATCTCCGTTCACTGATCCTAAAACAATACAGCCCATAATCAGTATCAATAAAATAAGTCGTTCCTAACAAATAACACTCAACTGCACATCCACGAAAATATCTCAAAATTACCTTTCTCAACTACGGGCTCTGCTAACACAGACTCGCTCAATCTCAATGGGGAAAACGATTCTGAAAGTATACAAAAACAATTACACAAAATGTTAAATGCTCATCATCACATCGATAACACACACTCCACTGTCACATTCACAGTAACATTGAATACAATCATCAACGCAAGCACCAATATGACAAGCGAAACACAACACCCACATTATCACATAGACAACTATTCAAAACAAAACAAATATCGACTTTCTCATTCAACTCTCCACCACATAAACACTGACTACTCACATCCACCAACCACACAGAAACGCAATATCACACTTACCACCACTCCCCACATTCCCTCTGACCGTGCCTCTTCTCCCACGCCGTCTACCCACCATCATCTACAATAGAAACAACAACAACAACAACAACAACAACAACAATATTAATCGTAATCATAATCATAACCATAACAACAACATGTACAACACACTAGCTTCCCTCCTACACCACCACCATCAACGGAAATACAACAGAAACACACAACTATTCCCATATAAATTGAACACTGAAAGCTTCACTGAAACCAAACTCACCGGAACAACAGCACCCACAGGCTCCACTGTTCCACCTGAAATTAAAAACACACAAGTTAATACTCTACAAATATTCAACAAAACACAACATTATACTTTCAACAAAACCACAGTGGCTCACCTCATCCAAGAAAACAGTGATCCACGTCGCCACACAACTCACACAAATTAAACCCGATCAACACAATTACACTCACCATTCCATGGAATTACATACAACCATGAATGTATCTGATTAACGAACCAACACCACCAAGTCACAAGTGTCGTAACTTCAATCGGTCACTCAATTCAATCATGTACATCATAACGGAAATTCTTACTCAATCTAGCTGTTCTCTCGTCGGAAAACAACACACTCATCTTCGCACATCACCAAACACCTATCACAACTACAAAACATCGTAGGTACCACTCTACGACTCAACTCCTCAAACAAACACGCACACACACACACAGAACATCATCATGTGACCAAACAAATCCTCAAAAGCAACATAACTATTACAATACCCAACACAACATCACTACTCATGAATCACGTCCCACACTAACAACAACAACAACAACAACAACAACAACCCACACTACCAAACGATGTAACAACAAATAAAATGTCAAAAATCCACAATTACCTCTGTCAGGAGAACTGATCGATCGAGAAGAAACTAGTGAATTCAAATCGCCATTCATTGACATCGATTTCTCTGAAGAAAAAAAAAATTCACCGATTAACAAACACACATCAGTCGATTCTGATACTATCACGTCGAAACAATCAAAGGTTACTAAGGAAAGTTTCAGATGCACATTTTCTACAAATAGCATACAAAACATAAATATACAACTTCAACTCACAACACAAACACACCAAACTCATCAAAACCAATACGTACACTTCTGCACAACCACATAAAACTCCATACATGTTTCAATGCACTCACCTTCTTCATCACCCTCCGTCAATTTCGGATCAATCGCTGTCAACACGCACACAGCTTTAGATTCACCCACTGTCAAAACAGAACACCCTGAAACGGTGCTCGCATCTCCGTTCACTGATCCTAAAACAATACAGCCCATAATCAGTATCAATAAAATAAGTCGTTCCTAACAAATAACACTCAACTGCACATCCACGAAAATATCTCAAAATTACCTTTCTCAACTACGGGCTCTGCTAACACAGACTCGCTCAATCTCAATGGGGAAAACGATTCTGAAAGTATACAAAAACAATTACACAAAATGTTAAATGCTCATCATCACATCGATAACACACACTCCACTGTCACATTCACAGTAACATTGAATACAATCATCAACGCAAGCACCAATATGACAAGCGAAACACAACACCCACATTATCACATAGACAACTATTCAAAACAAAACAAATATCGACTTTCTCATTCAACTCTCCACCACATAAACACTGACTACTCACATCCACCAACCACACAGAAACGCAATATCACACTTACCACCACTCCCCACATTCCCTCTGACCGTGCCTCTTCTCCCACGCCGTCTACCCACCATCATCTACAATAGAAACAACAACAACAACAACAACAACAACAACAACAACAATATTAATCGTAATCATAATCATAACCATAACAACAACATGTACAACACACTAGCTTCCCTCCTACACCACCACCATCAACGGAAATACAACAGAAACACACAACTATTCCCATATAAATTGAACACTGAAAGCTTCACTGAAACCAAACTCACCGGAACAACAGCACCCACAGGCTCCACTGTTCCACCTGAAATTAAAAACACACAAGTTAATACTCTACAAATATTCAACAAAACACAACATTATACTTTCAACAAAACCACAGTGGCTCACCTCATCCAAGAAAACAGTGATCCACGTCGCCACACAACTCACACAAATTAAACCCGATCAACACAATTACACTCACCATTCCATGGAATTACATACAACCATGAATGTATCTGATTAACGAACCAACACCACCAAGTCACAAGTGTCGTAACTTCAATCGGTCACTCAATTCAATCATGTACATCATAACGGAAATTCTTACTCAATCTAGCTGTTCTCTCGTCGGAAAACAACACACTCATCTTCGCACATCACCAAACACCTATCACAACTACAAAACATCGTAGGTACCACTCTACGACTCAACTCCTCAAACAAACACGCACACACACACACAGAACATCATCATGTGACCAAACAAATCCTCAAAAGCAACATAACTATTACAATACCCAACACAACATCACTACTCATGAATCACGTCCCACACTAACAACAACAACAACAACAACAACAACCCACACTACCAAACGATGTAACAACAAATAAAATGTCAAAAATCCACAATTACCTCTGTCAGGAGAACTGATCGATCGAGAAGAAACTAGTGAATTCAAATCGCCATTCATTGACATCGATTTCTCTGAAGAAAAAAAAAATTCACCGATTAACAAACACACATCAGTCGATTCTGATACTATCACGTCGAAACAATCAAAGGTTACTAAGGAAAGTTTCAGATGCACATTTTCTACAAATAGCATACAAAACATAAATATACAACTTCAACTCACAACACAAACACACCAAACTCATCAAAACCAATACGTACACTTCTGCACAACCACATAAAACTCCATACATGTTTCAATGCGCTCACCTTCTTCATCACCCTCCGTCAATTTCGGATCAATCGCTGTCAACACGCACACAGCTTTAGATTCACCCACTGTCAAAACAGAACACCCTGAAACGGTGCTCGCATCTCCGTTCACTGATCCTAAAACAATACAGCCCATAATCAGTATCAATAAAATAAGTCGTTCCTAACAAATAACACTCAACTGCACATCCACGAAAATATCTCAAAATTACCTTTCTCAACTACGGGCTCTGCTAACACAGACTCGCTCAATCTCAATGGGGAAAACGATTCTGAAAGTATACAAAAACAATTACACAAAATGTTAAATGCTCATCATCACATCGATAACACACACTCCACTGTCACATTCACAGTAACATTGAATACAATCATCAACGCAAGCACCAATATGACAAGCGAAACACAACACCCACATTATCACATAGACAACTATTCAAAACAAAACAAATATCGACTTTCTCATTCAACTCTCCACCACATAAACACTGACTACTCACATCCACCAACCACACAGAAACGCAATATCACACTTACCACCACTCCCCACATTCCCTCTGACCGTGCCTCTTCTCCCACGCCGTCTACCCACCATCATCTACAATAGAAACAACAACAACAACAACAACAACAACAATATTAATCGTAATCATAATCATAACCATAACAACAACATGTACAACACACTAGCTTCCCTCCTACACCACCACCATCAACGGAAATACAACAGAAACACACAACTATTCCCATATAAATTGAACACTGAAAGCTTCACTGAAACTAAACTCACCGGAACAACAGCACCCACAGGCTCCACTGTTCCACCTGAAATTAAAAACACACAAGTTAATACTCTACAAATATTCAACAAAACACAACATTATACTTTCAACAAAACCACAGTGGCTCACCTCATCCAAGAAAACAGTGATCTAAGTCGCCACAGAATTTCACTTCACGTACTACCTACTCACAAACGCAATTCAACGTCGCCACAAACCTTAACTCTACGAATCACTCACCCGACCAACGTGATTGTATTTGTTGTCCTTTTTGATGTATTGTGATAATGACTTCATATTTATAAACATACAAGTGGTTCACCAATATATTTTCATTTACTCATATAGTTAATATTTTTGTTTCCTGTGTTCCGTTTTAACTCCGCCTGTAGCTCTTCCAGAGTTACTGGCGGTCCCAAGCCCGGGTAAAGGAGGAGGGTTGGGCATGGGGTTAGCGTCCCCATCCCGTAGAAACCTAACTCGCTAAAAAAACGCTAACCAGAAAAAATAACTCAAACCATTTAAACTCTGCCCTGGGAGTTAGAGGTAATATGACGCTTCATGGTGAAAGCCGAGTTCCTTCGGAAGCCACGAGGCCGATGCCCGTTCTAACAACCAGAGCAACAATTTTTATAGGTACATGAAACGTCCGGACAATGTGGGAGACCGGGAAGACCTGTCAAATAGCAACGGAAATGAGGAGATACAACTTGGCAGTACTGGGAATCAGTGAAACCCATTGGACCCAAGCTGGACAACAAAGGCTAAATACGGGAGAGATGCTGCTATACTCCGGTCACGAAGAGGAAAATGCTCCACACACTCAGGGAGTTGCTCTAATGCTATCCAAAGTAGCACGAAATGCACCTGTAGGATGGGAATCTCACGGATCCAGAATCATCAAAGCATCATTCAAAACAAAGAAGGAGGGGATCACAATGAACATCATCCAATGTTATGCACCCACCAATGATAGCAACGACGACGTTAAAGATCAATTCTATGAGAGGCTGCAATCAATCATCGAGAAGTGCCCAAGAAAGGACCTCACCATTCTGATGGGAGATCTAAACGCCAAAGTCGGAATGGACAACACCGGATATGAAGATATCATGGGACTACATGGACTGGGAGAGAGAAACGAAAACGGGGAAAGATTTGCAAATCTGTGTGCATTCAATAAATTGGTCATAGGCGGTACAACATTTCCACACAAACGTACACACAAAGCTACGTGGATCTCACCGGACCACACCACAGAGAACCAGATAGATCACATTTGCATCAATAAAAAGTTCCGAAGGACAATGGAAGATGTGAAAACCAGGAGAGGAGCGGACATAGCTTCAGATCATCACCTGGTTGTGGCCAAATTGAAACTGAAGCTAAAGAAGAACTGGACAACTGGACAAACAGCACCACAAAGGTTCAATACAGCCTTCCTTCGAGATACTGACAAACTCAATGAATTCAAGGTAGTTCTCAACAACAGGTTCCAAGCCTTACAGGATCTATTGAAGGAAGAAGAAACTACTATGGAGGATAGCTGGAAAGGTATCAAAGAAACATTTACTTCAACGTGTGAAGAGGTTCTGGGCCCCAAGAAGCATCATCACAAGGAATGGATCTCTACAGAAACACTGGACAGGATCAAAGAAAGGAAGAACAAGAAGGCAGCAATTAACAACAGTCGAACAAGAGCAGAGCAAGTCCAAGCACAAGCAGAGTACATAGAAGCAAACAAGAAAGTGAAGAAGAGCATTGGAGCTGATAAGCAAAAATACGTGGAAGAACTAGCAACGACGGTGGAAAAAGCTGCAAGAGAAGGAAATATGAGACAGCTTTACGATACGACGAAGAAGCTTGCAGAGAAATACAGTAAACCAGAGAGACCAGTCAAAGACAAAGAAGGAAGACCAATCACTGAGATTCAACAACAGCGCAACAGATGGGCAGAGTACTTCGAGGAACTCCTGAACAGGCCGGCTCCAATGAATCCACCGGACATCGAAGCAGCACACACAGATCTTCCTATAAATTTCAATCCACCAACGACAGAAGAAATCAGAATGGCCGTCAGACAAATCAAGAGCGGGAAAGCAGAAGGACCTGACAATATACCAGCTGAAGCGTTGAAGTCAGACATCGAAGTAACTACAAGCATGCTTCATCTTCTATTCAAGAAGATTTGGGAGGAGGAACAAGTGCCGATGGATTGGAAAGAAGGACACCTCATCAAGATTCCAAAGAAAGGAGATCTGAGCAAGTGTGAAAACTACAGAGGCATTACACTACTGTCAATACCGGGTAAAGTCTTCAACAGAGTGTTACTAAACAGGATGAAAGACGCAGTTGACGCTCAACTTCGAGATCAACAAGCTGGATTCCGTAAGGACCGATCGTGCACAGACCAGATTGCGACACTACGGATCATCGTCGAACAATCAATTGAGTGGAACTCGTCACTCTACATCAACTTCATTGATTATGAGAAGGCATTTGACAGTGTAGATAGGAGGACCTTATGGAAACTTCTTCGACACTACGGAGTTCCCGAGAAGACTGTCAACATTATCCGGAACTCATACGATGGACTACAGTGCAAAGTAGTGCATGGAGGACAGCTGACAGACGCATTCCAAGTAAGGACCGGAGTAAGACAAGGCTGTCTACTCTCTCCCTTCCTGTTTCTTCTGGTGGTCGACTGGATTATGAAGACCTCGACATCTGAGAGAAACTACGGCATACGATGGACAGCTCAGAACCAATTAGACGACTTGGACTTCGCAGATGACCTAGCCCTCCTATCACATACACACGAACAAATGCAGATAAAGACAGCCAGCATAGCAGTAGTCTCTGCATCAGTAGGCCTCAACATACACAAAGGGAAAACCAAGGTCCTCAAACACAACACGGAGAACAGCAATCCAATCACTCTTGATGGCGAAACTCTGGAAGACGTGGAATCCTTCACATACCTGGGGAGCATCGTCGATAAACAAGGAGGTTCAGATGCGGACGTCAAGGCAAGGATTGGCAAAGCTAGAGCGGCATTCCTTCAACTGAAGAACATATGGAACTCAAAACAACTTTCAACCAATATCAAAGTCTGAATCTTCAATACGAACGTCTAAGCAGTTCTACTGTACGGAGCTGAAACTTGGAGAACTACAACAACCACCATCAAGAAGGTACAGGTATTTATTAATAGCTGTCTACGCATGATACTCAACATCCATTAGCCGGATACCATCAGCAACAGCCTTTTGTGGGAGAGAACCAACCAGCTTCCAGCTGAAGAGGAAATTAGGAAAAGACGATGGAAGCGGATAGGACATACATTGAGGAAATCATCAAACTGCATTACGAGACAAGCGCTAACTTGGAATCCTGAAGGGAAGCGGAAAAGAGGAAGGCCAAAGAACACATTACGTCGGGAAATAGAAGCAGATATGAAAAAGATGAATAAGAACTGGAAAGAGCTTGAAAGGATTGCCCAGGACAGGGTTGGATGGAGAATGCTGGTGAGCGGCCTATGCTCCTTCACGAGGAGTAACAGGCGTAAGTAAGTAAGTAAGTGTTCCGTTGTATTGTCTGATCAAATGCCTGAAAGGATTTTTTATTCCGGAAATATAATCTGCGTTTACTAGTATTACTTTCACTTGAAAATTTGGTATTAAACTTATTTTTCTATCTATGTCTCCTAAAGCAGTTATTTGAATGCAAGCGGTCAACAGATGATCGTTTTTTCGGACAACTGTTGCATGTCAATCTAGGATGCAGGCTGTTATTTATAAAATACAAATCCATTTTGTTTGATCAAAGATAACTTTATGAGAAATCAAAGTCCTTTATCATTTTATTAAATATTGTTGCTTGGTATCGCTATCCGCTTCTAGGTTATTATGTAATGGCAGTTTTATTTTATTTCATAGGTGGTAAATTATCTTTTATCCGATGTTATTCAGAACCGTAAGTAATATCTTAAGAAATTAAACTCATTTCTGTAGTTCATCTGACGTACGGTCGTCTGATAATGAGATCCTAATACCGTTAACTCAGTTTTGTATTTCCATTGCTTTTCAATAAATGATTCGTGCATACCGATACATCTTCACTACAACTCTACCTAGTTGAGTAATTTAATAATATTAGACATTATTGAAGTGCTTGGCTACAATGATATTGAATGAATTTGTACAAACTCACCTATAGTATAGATAGGTGTTAGATGTATACTTTGAAATAAAGCAATCATTTCCCTTAGTTAAGAATTAAGTATAATATAATTTTCAAGTCTTATTACTTTCAAATAAATTGAGCGTTAGATAGATTTTTCATATTAAATAAGCAATATGCTGTGATAAACTAATCAGTGGTGAAATTGGATTACTGACATTTTTCAATTTAATGCAAGTTGGTTTTACAAATAATAAATAACCACTTTATGTATTTAACTATTCAATTGCTTGTAGGAAAAATATGAAGAATGCAAAAAAAATTTACTTTCACTACTTGACGTTTGAAGTAATCCTGATTGCTCTAACCGAAGTGGTGATATAGATGCTGAAAAAAAAACAAGAACTCTAAGTAAGTAGTACAGATGAATGTACCTAAATACAAGACAGATAAGTTTTTTGGCGTTTTGATGATTTGATAAAACAGGAAAATAGTTGGACAATGAATAAAATGCATTAAAACAAGCTACTCAAACTTAAAAAACAGACTCACAACAATTCAACAAATTTTGCTTCCCACGTCTTCGTCGACCTCGGAGTTTACAAACAGCTACCTAAGCATCGCGTGGAGAAAAAAAATTTTAAAAGGAAATTGGGAACATTTAAATCAGGCTTGAAAACATAATTTACTTACTCCATATAGTCTACCTACAGACTAACTATTGTACATTCAGTCAACTACAACGTAGGACCAGGCACATATGTGCATCGGTCCAAGTTGCCACACCTCATTAACAGAAGATGAACACCAAATTCATAGAAGTGATTATTTCAATGGTAGCAAAAAAATAGTGGCGAAAGAACTAATTCGTAGTAAGGGAGGTCTGAAGTAGTTTTAATCTCACGGTTTAATGGAAGACAAAGAGTGTATACACCTACGCCATTGTGATCGATTCTGAGCCATATCACCCAGAGCCTCCAACTATTGTCTACGATAGTCACGTCGACCCCAACCAAGTAATCTGCATCTACCAACATGGCTCAGACCAGAAGTCAGAGACTTCAAAAACTGATGACACGTTTTGGTTGAGCCGCTTCTAACTTTCTTTAGTCCGTCTCCAACACTAGTCGGCATTGCGCGTCGTGATAATCGGTGGTCGGGTATGCGTAACACATGGCCCAATCTTCTCAGTCAATGTAGATTCACAACCTCATCCACCGACTTACCATTATTCCCTAATACTCTACATCTAACCTCAACACTACTTACCCGGTGATCCCAGAAGATACGAGCAATATTTCTAAGACATTTGTGACCAAATATTAGTAACTTAAGAGTATCCTCTACTCTTAATGGCGTTGTTTCGCAGCCGTAAAGCAAAATAGAACGAACTGCCACCCAGTATACTCGTTCTCTTACAGATAGACAGATATCTCGCCTAAGCCATGGGTGACGTAAGTTAGCGAAAGTCAAACGAGCTTTTCGAATCCATACTGAGATTTCATCAGACACCAACCCATTAGGGCTGATCAGACTTCCAAAATAAATGAAGTTATAGAAATACTCGACAACTTCATTCCTTACCCTTAGTTCAGGTGTTGACGCAGGCCAGTCCTAAAGCAACAATTTGCATTTAGAGGGAGAGAAACGCATCCTGATATTGTCGCTCAGTGCTACCAAAAGACTCTGCATTTTATCAGCGTCTTCAACAAACAGGACTATGTCATCCGAGTATTCTAAGTTAATAAGTGAACCTTCTGGTAAGAGATCAATGCCCGAAAATTCAGTCGAAGAGAATGGTATTTCCAGCCGTAGGTCTATGGTGGAATTGAACAAAAATGGAGATAATAGACAGTCTTTCCGGACACTAGATGCGGTTACAAAGTCAGATGATAGTTCGCCATAAGCTCTGACTCGACTAGTAGTGTTCGAGTAAAGAGCCTTCACAAGGTTTATGTACTTTTGAGGTACGCCTTTTAATGACAGATACTGCCACAGAACCTCTCGCTCTACAGAGTCAAACGCTGCTTTAAAGTCAAAGAAAACTATAATTGTCGGACGCCGATAAGTATGTCCATGTTCTGAGATCTGACGAATGGAGAATATGTGGTCGATGCAGTCACAACCAGGTTCAAAGTCAGCCGACCGTTGCCGCTACCTTGACATGGTGGTTGGGATTGCCTATCGTGATGAACCGATCGGGCTATACTGGATGGAACTATCGTTTTTCGAGGTCCTGCCATACCAGATACGTCGACTGAGAAACGGTAAGACTAAAACCAGCAAACCCAAGATCCGAGGGTGAAGTCGTATTGCTGACGGCAGTAGGGTGTTTCCCTCAGACAGCCAGCATAACAGCGATGCTGCCTTCCCATAAAAGAAGGGTGGGGTTAGAAAAGGTCGACCCTAAAAATAACGGATCAAGAGAAGTCTGAACAAAGATTAAATAAAGAACACAATTTCTGCACAAAGTCACAAGCCTAGAAATAAATGAAGTTTATGTGGTGAAAGGTTGTTATTTGACGTCTGTGAAGTTACATAGTAGTAAAAATTCGTTCCATAGGCAATTCAAACATTAATTTTGAACATGGATAACCTTAATAATCACCCAATTCTATGCTAAATAATGTGACATGACGAAATGAATAGCTGGTAAAGTAAGCAGCTCAAAGGTCAGTAAACCAAAATATTACCTTACCCTAACCCTACCAAAATGGATAACCGACACCCATAGTTTGTGAGATGAAACGTGAAGCTTCACACAGAGATATCTCAAGCGGATAAATTGCTATTGTCGTATGCCAATAAATTTTGACAAAATGTATCATGGTAAGAACAAATAAAAGCAGAAATTGTGGTTTTCGGCCTACTGAAAAATAATTACAACATAAAAGGATACCACATTTTTGAAGGCACGCAATAAAATGAAGACGTTAGTTAGGGATACTTAATTAAATATATTAAAATAGCAGACAAAATCCTCAGGTAGCTGCATGCCACTACACACTTACAGGATGTGCATCAGGTGATAAAAAAGATTCTGAAAGAAAAAAATGGAAAGTCATAAAACACCCAAGATTTTATACAATAATCAAAAAACATTATTTCTACTTTATTGTTTAAACACATAAACATAGATACAAGGAGGAACGAAATAGATATGCGCCACATAAATCATTCGATTTGTGTGAGAGCCAAGATGCTACCCGGGTGTCCAAACTAAAGCACGTGATTTTCTTTCACTACCTCTACCACTGCGGGATTTGAATCGATAACTGAATCTCTGTGCTAATGTGGTATGGCAACTCGAACTGATGTACGTACGTACGAAGTTCCACGTTGTTACTGACTGGTTTTCTTAGGATACCACTCCCCGAGCCTTTGACTCAACGGTTTAATCCAAAAGGCAGTGGAGTAACGTAAGGAGATGTAATGCCATGGTAGCCGGTGACCAATAATTAATTCATACTCCATTTGTTCCCTCAGGATCCTGGAGCCAATGTGCACCATTGGTTTAGAATAAAAGTTTTCTAACTCCCCTGGTTGGGTACGCCGTATCCACCAATCCGGTCAAAGTGCCGGACAGTCGCTCTTCCTCTTCTCAATTTCGTAAACAAAACCCCCGCCGCGAGAACGCAGTGAGTAGGACTTCCTTCGCAGTGGTTGTGTGCACGTAGCCATGTGACAGCATTTCGAGATGGAGAGCTGACTCTCCACCCTCAACCATACCAGGGCACTTGTGGGCATACGGTTGACTTGAGGGCATCAACGGCCAATGATTTCATAGCTACATGCATGTTTCTTTCCATTATTTATTTGTTTTACCCCATACTGAGCCTAATGACTTAACAGTCCTGCCTACGAATGTATGAAATTTTAGTGAATAACTTTGAGTTATCTAGGATTATAAGATAGGTGAAAACGTATAATGAATAACGTACCTAGTGTTATTTACTTTAATTCTTATTCAATTAACAAGCTGTGGGTTTTTCATTAAAGTCTTACCCAGGAATTTAAATTAGCGTCAATAAAATTCGACCTAACCGAGACCATACCGATGGTTAGAGAACTTGAATGACATGGCTCAAAATCGTTTGCAATGGCGCAAGTGCATCCACTCTTTATGTTCTCTCAAACTAATCTTTTGAATTCTTCATGTCCTTTGTTTTCTTTCCGAATCTATTCCACTGGATTATATTTCTTAAATAACATCATCAAACCCTAATGTTCTCTATCACTACTTGCACTTTCACTACCTCTACCACTACGGGATTTGAATCGATAACCGAATCTCTGTGCTAATGTGGTGTGGCAACTCGAACTGATGTACGTGCGTACGAAGTTCAATGTCAGTCAGTCAGTCAGCTGCAACGTAGGACCAGGCACATATATGCATCGGTCCAACTTGCCCTACCGCATTAGCACAACAAGATGAACACCGGATTCATAGAAGTAGTTAATTCAGTGGTGGTAATATATAGAAGAAAGGGTGTGTATAAGGAGATAGTACAGGAAGATAGAATTAGTTCCTAGAAAGAAAGATTTGAAGTGAATTTAAACTCTTAGTTTAAAGGAAGACAGAGAGTGTATACACCGACGCCATTGTGATCGATTCTGAGCCATGTCACCAAGAGTCTCCAACCATTGGTTACGATAGTCACGCGGACCCCAACCAGGCAGTCTGAATCTTCCAACATGGCTCAGACCAGAAGTTAGTGACTTCAAGCGCTGATGCCACGTTTTGGTTTGGCCGCCCCTAACTTTCTTCCAATCATCCCTAATACCGGTTAGCATTGCGCGCCGTGGTAATCGGTGTTCAGGCATACGCAGCACATGACATAACAATCTCAGTCGATGAGGATTCACAACCCCATCAACTAATTTACCATCATTCCCTAATACCCTGCGTCTAACCTCACTATTACTTACCCGGTGATCCCAGCAGATACCCGCAATATTGCCCCCAAATGCCCTGGTATGGCCGAGAGCGGGGAGGGTTCGCCCTCCCTCTCGAAATACTCTCACACGGCCACGCGTATACAGCCTCTGCCAGGGAAGTCCTACTCACTGCCTTCTCGTGGCGGGGGTGTTGTTTACGAAAATGAGAGGACGAAAAGCGAACGTCCGGCGCTATAACCGGATCCCAAACCAATGGTGCACATGGGCTCCAGTATCCTGTGGGAACAAATGGCGTATGAACCAACTTTTGGTCACCGGCTTCCATGGGACTGCATCTCCTCACGATGCTCCACTGCCTTGTGGACTAGACCTTTAGGTCAAAGGCTCGGGGTGTGGCCCCCTAAGAAAACCACCTGCTTCGGTCTGGGCACACGGGCAGTATCCCAGCCCACTCACTAAAACTATGATGAACTATATGCTTATAGAAAGTATTCGTTTCTCTCCAACTAACATTGAAATGACTGGTATTATTATTATTATTATTACTATTATTATTATTATTATTATTATTATTATTTACTACGTCATTTATTCACTATCTCCTATTTCTACTTTTTGTATCCGCTTCGACTCAGACAGCAGCTCGCCTATGGTGAAAATTCAGCTTTATCTAAACGTTCTCGAGTCACTGCCTGGTTGAAAATTGTATGTTACTACCGAATATGAGTACTGAAGCAGTTTTTCTGAAACCACGTGCACCATTCAAACTGGCTGCCTTCAACGTTCGCACACTTATGCAGGTCGGACAACAGATAGGGCTGGCTATGTCTTTGGAAAGTCTTAATATTGATGTGTGTTGTCTATCCGAGACCCGTATTCAAGACTCTGGTGACCGTGAGTTTGACCACAGACGAAGGATGTTACGTAATGAAATCGGGCAAAGCTTGCGTAAGGACCGAGAAGCCTGGTGGTCGGAGCGTGCCAGTGAGTTGGAAGCAGCAGCTGCATCTGGTAATTACCGGAAGCTCTTCCAACTCATCCGAGCCACTGGCCGCAAGAAGTTTGGTGTGAGCGAAACAATCTGCGAGGATGACGGAACGCCAATCACTAACATCCATCGACGTCTTGGACGATGGGCAGAATTCTTTGAAGGGCAGTTCAACTGGCCTGCTGCTCCAGCAACATCGGTCAGACTGTCCTGCCCTCCATGGCCGGTGACGACTGATCCACCAAATGAGGCGGAAGTCCGCAAGGAACATTTATTATTTATTTATTTGAACACATAAATATTGGTACAGGGGGGCACCAAATATATATGCGCCACACAAAACAATGATAATTTGAAGAGGAGAAAAGAGAAAAAAAAGAAGAAAAAAAAAAGTAATGGACGTGGGGAATTATAAAAAAAGGGAGAGAGAGAACAATGGTGGGGGAAACGGAAAGGTACAATCAGAAGAGATCTTTCAGCTAAGGAAGATACAACCACTTTTTATGAAGAAAGTAAAGGAAGGTTACAGCACGATCGCCACTGGCTTCTATTCTGAGCCATATCTGATAACGTCTCTAGCCACTGCGTTACACCGTCTCTCGGACCCCAACCAGGGAGTCGTGAAGGAACAACAGAAGCTAGCCCTTTGCAGCTTTCTTTCATACCACGACACCATGTCATATACTGACCACCTCTCCGCTTTTTCCAACCAGTCCCAGAGTCGGCAAATAATGCACGACGTGGAATTCTCTGGGACGACATTCGTAGAACATGTCCAAGCCACAGAAGTCGGCGTTTCAAGATGGTGGCACCAATTTCATTATCGTCTCTGACCGAACACTCTATGCCGAACCTCTGCATTACTGACATGGTGTTGCCACTGGATGCCAGCAATCCTTCGGAGACAGCGATGATCGAACACAGAGAGTCGTCTAACATCCTCAACTCGGAGAGGCCAGGTTTCACAAGCATAGAGCAAAACTGCTCTCACCGTCGCGTTGTAGATCCGACCTTTTACAGCCAGACTAACATCACGAAGGCGCCAAAGATGGCCCAGATTGGCATAAGCCGCTCTGGCTTTCACTATACGTGCATTGATCTCATCACTCATGCCACCACCAGCACTTATGCAGCTACCTAGATACACGAACTTCTCGACTACTTCAATCTGCTCACCATCCAGAGTGAGTACAGGATTAGAATCCTGCCAGTCTTGTAGAAGTACTTTGCACTTCGAAGGTGCAAAGCACATACCATACCTACGGACACTGATCGCCAACTGATTAAGTGCGGATTGCATGGCTTGGGCATTCTCGCACAGTCAGACAATATCATCCGCATACTCAAGGTCGAGAAGTCTTTCTCCAGGCAACAGATCCACACCACCATTACTTACATCCGTCAGAGCTGTTTCCAGAATGTCATCGATGGCAAAGTTGAAGAGGAATGGTGAGATTGGGCAACCCTGCCTAACCCCACTGCTCGAATGGAATAGTGGAGAAAGGTGGTTGTATGCCCTCACTCTGCCTGAGGTGTTTGTGTATAAAGCTTTTAGGATGTTAATAAACTTCTCAGGCGCACCCTTCTTCAATAGACAATCCCAGAGAACAGTTCTGTCCAACGAATCGAAGGCAGCCCTGATATCAAGAAACACTACGATTGTTGGCCTTTGATAAGTATGGCGGTGTTCTAACACTTGGCGGAGGGTGAAGATATGATCAATACATCCTCGACCAGAACGAAACCCAGCCTGCTCCTCGCGAGTCAATCCTTCTCGGGCTCTGAACAACCTACGAAGTATGACGGAAGCCAATAGCTTGGACGCAATCGGAAGTAGACTTATCCCCCGATAGTTGTTACAGGAACAACGTGAACCCTTTTTAAAGATAGGGAAAACTATCGACTCATTCCATGACGTTGGTACACTCTCTAGTTCCCAGATCTTTGTAAGCAACGTCGTCAGTCCCTTAGTCAGAAAGTCACCACCATCTTTAAAAAGAGCCGGAGGTAAGTCATCTGGGCCCGGTGATTTGTAACGTTTCAAGAGTTGGAGTTCCTTGCGGACTTCCGCCTCATTTGGTGGATCAGTCGTCACCGGCCATGGAGGGCAGGACAGTCTGACCGATGTTGCCGGAGCAGCAGGCCAGTTGAACTGCCCTTCAAAGAATTCTGCCCATCGTCCAAGACGTCGATGGATGTTAGTGATTGGCGTTCCGTCATCCTCGCAGATTGTTTCGCTCACACCAAACTTCTTGCGGCCAGTGGCTCGGATGAGTTGGAAGAGCTTCCGGTAATTACCAGATGCAGCTGCTGCTTCCAACTCACTGGCACGCTCCGACCACCAGGCTTCTCGGTCCTTACGCAAGCTTTGCCCGATTTCATTACGTAACATCCTTCGTCTGTGGTCAAACTCACGGTCACCCGGAGTAGACCGACGGGCTTCAATCAGTTGTAAGGAACCAGAAGAAACCCAGTGCTTGTAAGCGGGACGTTTCGCAGACCCACAACAGACTTGACCCGCCATTTTCATGGCGTCATGCAATTGCAACCAATGCTCATCTATACTTTTCGGTGGAATGCTAGCTAGCCTAGAAGCTAGCTCGGTTCGGTACTTACTAGCAACAGAAGTTGCAGCCAGCTTGCTAACATCAATCCTTTGGTGGCGGTCACTTCGTTGTCCACTGAAAAGTAAGGTAAGATTGGCGCAGACCAGAGCATGATCAGATTCCAGATAGGTACTCCAAAAGGAGCGGCAGTCTTGTACACAACCGCGCCAGCGGTAGCTGATCGCGATGTGATCAATCTGAGTCCAGGCTTGAGATGCAGAAGGGGGACGCCAGGTGGCACATCGGCGATGACTGTGCCGAAAGTTAGTGCTAGCCAGAAACAGGTTGTGGTCTGTGCATAGTTGCAGTAGACGTTCCCCGTTATCTGTCTTGCGACCAACGAGTCCCCATCGGCCACCTAAACGACTCTCTTCTGTGCCTAGACGCCCGACCTGAGCATTCAAGTCTCCAGCTAGTACTACAATATCTGTCGAACGCACTTTCTGGAGAAGAACAGTTAGCTGATGGTAGAACTCGTCCTTGATTGCATCCGGGCTGCAATCTGTCGGGGCATAGGCGGAGATGACGAAAAGACATCGTTTCTCACGCCTATTTCTTCTCACTTTGATGGAACTTTCTAATCTAACAGCACATAACCGACTGTTAATGGGGATCCAGTCAACTAGTGCTGCCTCAGCTCTTGCGCTTAGTGCGACACCAACGCCAGCAAGACCAGACGAAGATGCCACAGGGTCCCCGGATAAACGCACATAAAACAAGCTTTTTGAAGTGACAGATGGAGAGCGAACTTGTAGTACTTCACCAGAGTCTTGAATACGGGTCTCGGATAGACAACACACATCAATATTAAGACTTTCCAAAGACATAGCCAGCCCTATCTGTTGTCCGACCTGCATAAGTGTGCGAACGTTGAAGGCAGCCAGTTTGAATGGTGCACGTGGTTTCAGAAAAACTGCTTCAGTACTCATATTCGGTAGTAACATACAATTTTCAACCAGGCAGTGACTCGAGAACGTTTAGATAAAGCTGAATTTTCACCATAGGCGAGCTGCTGTCTGAGTCGAAGCGGATACAAAAAGTAGAAATAGGAGATAGTGAATAAATGACGTAGTAAATAATAATAATAATAATAATAATAATAGTAATAATAATAATAATAATACCAGTCATTTCAATGTTAGTTGGAGAGAAACGAATACTTTCTATAAGCATATAGTTCATCATAGTTTTAGTGAGTGGGCTGGGATACTGCCCGTGTGCCCAGACCGAAGCAGGTGGTTTTCTTAGGGGGCCACACCCCGAGCCTTTGACCTAAAGGTCTAGTCCACAAGGCAGTGGAGCATCGTGAGGAGATGCAGTCCCATGGAAGCCGGTGACCAAAAGTTGGTTCATACGCCATTTGTTCCCACAGGATACTGGAGCCCATGTGCACCATTGGTTTGGGATCCGGTTATAGCGCCGGACGTTCGCTTTTCGTCCTCTCATTTTCGTAAACAACACCCCCGCCACGAGAAGGCAGTGAGTAGGACTTCCCTGGCAGAGGCTGTATACGCGTGGCCGTGTGAGAGTATTTCGAGAGGGAGGGCGAACCCTCCCCGCTCTCGGCCATACCACGGCATTTGGGGGCTCCGCAAGGAACTCCAACTCTTGAAACGTTACAAATCACCGGGCCCAGATGACTTACCTCCGGCTCTTTTTAAAGATGGTGGTGACTTTCTGACTAAGGGACTGACGACGTTGCTTACAAAGATCTGGGAACTAGAGAGTGTACCAACGTCATGGAATGAGTCGATAGTTTTCCCTATCTTTAAAAAGGGTTCACGTTGTTCCTGTAACAACTATCGGGGGATAAGTCTACTTCCGATTGCGTCCAAGCTATTGGCTTCCGTCATACTTCGTAGGTTGTTCAGAGCCCGAGAAGGATTGACTCGCGAGGAGCAGGCTGGGTTTCGTTCTGGTCGAGGATGTATTGATCATATCTTCACCCTCCGCCAAGTGTTAGAACACCGCCATACTTATCAAAGGCCAACAATCGTAGTGTTTCTTGATATCAGGGCTGCCTTCGATTCGTTGGACAGAACTGTTCTCTGGGATTGTCTATTGAAGAAGGGTGTGCCTGAGAAGTTTATTAACATCCTAAAAGCTTTATACACAAACACCTCAGGCAGAGTGAGGGCATACAACCACCTTTCTCCACTATTCCATTCGAGCAGTGGGGTTAGGCAGGGTTGCCCAATCTCACCATTCCTCTTCAACTTTGCCATCGATGACATTCTGGAAACAGCTCTGACGGATGTAAGTAATGGTGGTGTGGATCTGTTGCCTGGAGAAAGACTTCTCGACCTTGAGTATGCGGATGATATTGTCTGACTGTGCGAGAATGCCCAAGCCATGCAATCCGCACTTAATCAGTTGGCAATCAGTGTCCGTAGGTATGGTATGTGCTTTGCACCTTCGAAGTGCAAAGTACTTCTACAAGACTGGCAGGATTCTAATCCTGTACTCACTCTGGATGGTGAGCAGATTGAAGTAGTCGAGAAGTTCGTGTATCTAGGTAGCTGCATAAGTGCTGGTGGTGGCATGAGTGATGAGATCAATGCACGTATAGTGAAAGCCAGAGCGGCTTATGCCAATCTGGGCCATCTTTGGCGCCTTCGTGATGTTAGTCTGGCTGTAAAAGGTCGGATCTACAACGCGACGGTGAGAGCAGTTTTGCTCTATGCTTGTGAAACCTGGCCTCTCCGAGTTGAGGATGTTAGACGACTCTCTGTGTTCGATCATCGCTGTCTCCGAAGGATTGCTGGCATCCAGTGGCAACACCATGTCAGTAATGCAGAGGTTCGGCATAGAGTGTTCGGTCAGAGACGATAATGAAATTGGTGCCACCATCTTGAAACGCCGACTTCTGTGGCTTGGACATGTTCTACGAATGTCGTCCCAGAGAATTCCACGTCGTGCATTATTTGCCGACTCTGGGACTGGTTGGAAAAAGCGGAGGGGTGGTCAGTCAGTCAGTCAGTCAGTCAGCTGCAACGTAGGACCAGGCACATATATGCATCGGTCCAAGTTGCCCTACCGCATTAGCACAACAAGATGAACACCGGATTCATAGAAGTAGTTAATTCAGTGGTGGTAATATATAGAAGAAAGGGTGTGTATAAGGAGATAGTACAGGAAGATAGAATTAGTTCCTAGAAAGAAAGATTTGAAGTGAATTTAAACTCTTAGTTTAAAGGAAGACAGAGAGTGTATACACCGACGCCATTGTGATCGATTCTGAGCCATGTCACCAAGAGTCTCCAACCATTGGTTACGATAGTCACGCGGACCCCAACCAGGTAGTCTGCATCTACCAACATGGCTCAGACCAGAAGTTAGTGACTTCAAGCACTGATGCCACAACGGTCAGGATATGACATGGTGTCGTGGTATGAAAGAAAGCTGCAAAGGGCTAGCTTCTGTTGGTCCTTCACGACTCCCTGGTTGGGGTCCGAGAGACGGTGTAACGCAGTGGCTAGAGACGTTATCAGATATGGCTCAGAATAGAAGCCAGTGGCGATCGTGCTGTAACCTTCCTTTACTTTCTTCATAAAAAGTGGTTGTATCTTCCTTAACTGAAAGATCTCTTCTGATTGTACCTTTCCGTTTCCCCCACCATTGTTCTCTCTCTCCCTTTTTTTATAATTCCCCACGTCCATTACTTTTTTTTTTCTTCTTTTTTTTCTCTTTTCTCCTCTTCAAATTATCATTGTTTTGTGTGGCGCATATATATTTGGTGCCCCCCTGTACCAATATTTATGTGTTCAAATAAATAAATAAATAATAAACCCGCAATATTTCTAAGGCACCTGTGGTCAAATACTAGTAACTTACGAATATCTTCTACTCTTAAAGGCCATGTTTCGCAGCCGTATAGTAGAACGGAACGAACTGCCGCGCAGTATACTCGCCTCTTAATTGATAGACGGATATCTCGCCTGCGCCATAGATGACGTAAGTTGGCAAAGGCTAAACGAGCTTTTCGAATCCTTGCTGAGATTTCGTCAGACACCAACCCATTAGGGCTGATCAGACTTCCAAGATAAGTGAAGTTGTCGACGCGTTCGACTACTTCACTCCCTATCCTTAGTTCAGGTGTTGATGCAGACCAGTCCTGATGCAACAACTTGCATTTAGAGGGAGAAAAGCGCATCCCAAACATTCTAGCATTGTTGCTCAGTGCTACCAAAAGACTCTGCATTTCATCAGCGTCTTCACCAAACAGGACTATGTCATCTGCGTATTCTAAGTCAATAAGTGGACCTCCTGGTAGGAGATCAATACCCGAGAATTCAGTCGATGAGAGCGTTATTTCCATCAGGATGTCTATGATAAAGTTAAAAAAGGAGAAAGTGGACAGCCTTGATGGACCCCACTTGAGGTTGAAAAAGCGGATGACAGTTCGCCATAGGCTCTGACTCGACTAGTAGTGTTCGAGTAAAGAGCCTTCACAAGGTTTATGTACTTCTGAGGTACATCTTTCAATGACAGACACTGCCACAGAACCTCTCGGTCAACAGAGTCAAATGCTGCTTTTAAGTCAAGGAATACCACCATTGTCGGACGTCTATAAGTATGCTTTTGTTCTAGAACCTGACGAATGGTGAATATGTGGTCGATGCAGCCACGACCAGGTCTGAAGCCAGCCTGATTGACTGACCCACTAAATCCTACACAATTACAAAACAACGTGACTATTGAGTTTACGATAAAGATGCTAGTCGGGTCAACGAACAGTTATTGGCAAAATTAGGTTTTAAACTAAGGTTCCTAGATCGTTAATCTAACCTCACCGTCAAGTAAGTGCGACAAAATGTTATTAATTTTTCCTCCAAAAATAATACCGGTTGTGATGGTGCAAATAATAGACTTTGGAACTTAAAGTCAGTTTTAAAACGTGAAAAGTCAAAGGGAAAAATCAAGTTATAGCTTACTACGTACAAGTTCGTAAGTGGTATGAAATTTTGACTAACAGATATACTCATATGTCTTTCCTAACTATAAGATATTTGTGAATTGATTACATTACCTGAACCTAGACTAGATAACACTGTAAATCCACCATGGCTAGAATTATTCTATTATCAGATGTAACGATACAAATGAAAAACGATCACATTAAGTCGCATATCATATCTAACCATTTGATTTCTCAACTCAGTGAATAACTGGGTACAAACGAACAAAATAATTATAAAATGTCCATATATAAAAGATACATACCCGCTAACATTGGTCGGTCCTCATGGTTAGGATGAAAACTTGGTTTGCTACGTGGGAAGACAACTCTAGAATTTGACCCAACACTTTTTTCGCCGTCCATAATAACTGGTGAGCATGTTTTGCTGCTTGGGACGTCTGAAGTATGTAGTGACTGAAAGCAAGAATCAATTTTCTTCCTATCAAAAACATGGGTAAAACTGATCGCTTTAACGGAATTAGCAAAATGTTTTTCCAAACCTGGTAGGCCGTTGTGATACAAAAGTGTCTCACAAGATGATAACTCATCAAAGTCACTAAATCCAGATAGGGCCATGGAAGACTGCAATATTTGTTTTAAGAGGCAGTATATAGGTTGGAAGCAGGCCACCTGAAAATCGATAGAGAAATATCTGGTGAACCTACGGAAACCGAATAAAAAACGATTTAATGCGTTAGAAATAGGAAGCTGGTTGAAATTAGTTTAGCGTACCATCAAGCGGAGCTGAAAAATCTGAAAGGTCGCAAATGGTAAGGTACAAGAAGAAAAAGGATGAGACCATAATTTACGGACGACCTTTGAAAAACGCCAGATTGACCTTCAGTGTCCACCTAATAACCAGGGTCAAATGAGGGTTATAAACGTTTGTGAAGAATCAAAATTATGATTTAAAGTGGATGATTAAGGTCATAAATTACACTTAGAGATTTCATCACGAACTGACATCAGGTGTAATGCCAGAACTATATTTATCCAAACGAATGAGTAAAATTTGCGCCAAAATCCAAGACCTGTCATCTTAAACGTGATTGGTTCGTCCTTAAATTAAAGTTTCGTCGAAAAAAGCAGTACAGTAAAATACTATTTATGCACAATGACTGAGGGCTATCCAACACAAAAATATCCGGAGCATGCTTCGAGAAATGACACAACAAAACCCAGATAGCAGGAGTGAAAAGACGATTTCAGGTAAACACTCTGGATGGTACCATGATCCTGCAGGACGAGCAGTGGTGCTCAACCCGATCAGAAAGCCGGAATTGCCATGGGAATAAATCCTCCAATGAGATGTGCATACACTTTTTTCTTTAACTAGTTTCCGAATAGTTTTAGTTGCTCAATTAATCTACTGACCCAACCAGTCAATGAACTACTTATTTCTAAACAAAACGTCTTACCGTCTCGTAAATCCCGCCACAACCTTCCAGTTGTATTACTGAGTTATCTGAACAAGTAAAAGAAAACAGTTTTCCCAACTCATCATATTTTTCTATGTTTCACGTGCTCTTAGAAACGTTCGTACAGAAAACTTCCGTGAATTAAAAACAGGGACTTAGCCGACTTTTCTGTACCGAGTAAATCTTTTAGTTTTTACTATATAATAAGTTAACTCCGCCTGTAGCTCTTCCAGAGTTACTGCCGGTCCCAAGCCCGGGTAAAGGAGGAGGGTTGGGCATGGGGTTAGCGTCCCCATCCCGTAGAAACCTAACTCGCTAAAAAAACGCTAACCAGAAAAAATAACTCAAACCATTTAAACTCTGCCCTGGGAGTTAGAGGTAATATGACGCTTCATGGTGAAAGCCGAGTTCCTTCGGAAGCCACGAGGCCGATGCCCGTTCTAACAACCAGAGCAACAATTTTTATAGGTACATGAAACGTCCGGACAATGTGAGAGACCGGGAAGACCTGTCAAATAGCAACGGAAATGAGGAGATACAACTTGGCAGTACTGGGAATCAGTGAAACCCATTGGACCCAAGCTGGACAACAAAGGCTAAATACGGGAGAGATGCTGCTATACTCCGGTCACGAAGAGGAAAATGCTCCACACACTCAGGGAGTTGCTCTAATGCTATCCAAAGTAGCACGAAATGCACCTGTAGGATGGGAATCTCACGGATCCAGAATCATCAAAGCATCATTCAAAACAAAGAAGGAGGGGATCACAATGAACATCATCCAATGTTATGCACCCACCAATGATAGCAACGACGACGTTAAAGATCAATTCTATGAGAGGCTGCAATCAATCATCGAGAAGTGCCCAAGAAAGGACCTCACCATTCTGATGGGAGATCTAAACGCCAAAGTCGGAATGGACAACACCGGATATGAAGATATCATGGGACTACATGGACTGGGAGAGAGAAACGAAAACGGGGAAAGATTTGCAAATCTGTGTGCATTCAATAAATTGGTCATAGGCGGTACAACATTTCCACACAAACGTACACACAAAGCTACGTGGATCTCACCGGACCACACCACAGAGAACCAGATAGATCACATTTGCATCAATAAAAAGTTCCGAAGGACAATGGAAGATGTGAAAACCAGGAGAGGAGCGGACATAGCTTCAGATCATCACCTGGTTGTGGCCAAATTGAAACTGAAGCTAAAGAAGAACTGGACAACTGGACAAACAGCACCACAAAGGTTCAATACAGCCTTCCTTCGAGATACTGACAAACTCAATGAATTCAAGGTAGTTCTCAACAACAGGTTCCAAGCCTTACAGGATCTATTGAAGGAAGAAGAAACTACTATGGAGGATAGCTGGAAAGGTATCAAAGAAACATTTACTTCAACGTGTGAAGAGGTTCTGGGCCCCAAGAAGCATCATCACAAGGAATGGATCTCTACAGAAACACTGGACAGGATCAAAGAAAGGAAGAACAAGAAGGCAGCAATTAACAACAGTCGAACAAGAGCAGAGCAAGTCCAAGCACAAGCAGAGTACATAGAAGCAAACAAGAAAGTGAAGAAGAGCATTGGAGCTGATAAGCAAAAATACGTGGAAGAACTAGCAACGACGGTGGAAAAAGCTGCAAGAGAAGGAAATATGAGACAGCTTTACGATACGACGAAGAAGCTTGCAGAGAAATACAGTAAACCAGAGAGACCAGTCAAAGACAAAGAAGGAAGACCAATCACTGAGATTCAACAACAGCGCAACAGATGGGCAGAGTACTTCGAGGAACTCCTGAACAGGCCGGCTCCAATGAATCCACCGGACATCGAAGCAGCACACACAGATCTTCCTATAAATTTCAATCCACCAACGACAGAAGAAATCAGAATGGCCGTCAGACAAATCAAGAGCGGGAAAGCAGAAGGACCTGACAATATACCAGCTGAAGCGTTGAAGTCAGACATCGAAGTAACTACAAGCATGCTTCATCTTCTATTCAAGAAGATTTGGGAGGAGGAACAAGTGCCGATGGATTGGAAAGAAGGACACCTCATCAAGATTCCAAAGAAAGGAGATCTGAGCAAGTGTGAAAACTACGTCAAGGCAGTCAGTTCTATTGTACGGAGCTGAAACTTGGAGAACTACAACGACCACCATCCTGAAGGTACAAGTATTTGTCAATAGCTGTCTACGCAGGATACTCAACATCCATTGGCCGGATACAATCAGCAACAGCCTTTTGTGGGAGAGAACCAACCAGCTTCCAGCTGAAGAGGAAATTAGGAAAAGACGATGGAAGCGGATAGGACATACATTGAGGAAATCATCAAACTGCATTACGAGACAAGCGCTAACTTGGAATCCTGAAAGGAAGCGGAAAAGAGGAAGGCCAAAGAACACATTACGTCGGGAAATAGAAGCAGATATGAAAAAGATGAATAAGAACTGGAAAGAGCTGGAAAGGATTGCCCAGGACAGGGTTGGATGGAGAATGCTGGTGAGCGGCCTATGCTCCTTTACGAGGAGTAACAGGCGTAAGTAAGTAAGTATATAATAAGTTGTAAGGGCTTCTTTTATATCCATTTAAGTCGTATATTTCAGTTACAGTAACACATAAGTTTGATCCTCTTGTGTTCAACGATTGCCACACTTAGAGTTTTAAAGATCACTTATTCTAAAAAATTAGCTTTTTATTTGTTGTATAGAGTTAAATGTATTCCCAAGATAAATAATTCTGTGAGTCTCCGTTATTGGTGCTAACCTCGTTTGTTTTACGTTATACACTCTACCTGGAGTCCCTCGGCCACGTATCCACACTAGATCCCGACGTGCTCATTCAGTAAATTTCTCAAAACCTTGTCAGTCTAATTGGAGGTTCAACAACACAATCATGCATGCAAACAATCAGTATAAGCAGTCGAGCAAATCTCCCGCAAACTGAAGACATCACTGTCGAATTTACCCCAACATTGACTAATATTTAAACCATTATCACAGACATGAGTTGGGAATGTACTCCTCTTGGTTACAACTTATGTTCTCCCTGGTAATCACATGAGCATCACTCACTCTTAATCATCTTGTAAAAACTTATTTAGACGAATACATCTTGCAGCACCAGATCACCTAGAAAGGTGGCACATAGGCCTAGCTGATCACAATAACTTATAATCACTATATCTCAATGAAATAGCATTCCGTCTTATACTAAACTGGCACTTGCAACTAACTTGTATGTACCATCAGCCGATAGGTGTGAATATAAATAAATAGTCTATGGCAAATCAGAACATTGAGTCTAGAGCATATCTCTAACGGATATACTCATGCTTAACGAATTGCTCTTATCCATCTGTCCAAAATCCACATAATTATTACTTTTCACGTTATTTAATTTCATAATTTAAACCAAAACTAATACCAATATTAGCATTTTTACAATATGGATTGTTTTTACTATTCATAAACACAAAATACTTACTACCTATAAGTTAAGTTATTAACCAACGGCTATTAACACACATCTTACATTTTATCATTATTATTATTACGACGACTCATTAAAATATCCCGACATGGAGTCATTTTATTATTATTATAATCCCACTTTGTTAAGCTCGAATAATATTTACCTAAATTTTCATTTTAATCGTGTTAAACATGCAATCAGATATGTTAAATTTATTACATGTATTTCCCGACCAGATGCTGCCGCCTTCTTTTTGATTTATCTTTCAGCTTATCAACACCCGGAGGGTTCTTATTATTCTTGGTAACCTCAGGCACGCGACAATCCCACTCAAATTGGTATCGAACCAACGTCACGTTGATTCTGATGGGAGAGTAGTGTAGTGGCATTGAGCCATAACACGAGACAAAATGGAAAATAGACATTCAACATTTACCGCTGGGAAATATCCAACAATGGAGAAGGCGGGAATAAGGAATTGAATTAATCGGAGTTGGTCGTATGGCATGGCTCGGCCATGCAGGCGTAGTCCCTGCTAAATGTTACGTTGTCTTTTATTCATATTAAATATATTGTTCTATCTCTAGTCTAAGATTGTTCTATATCATGTATTGTTAATTGTTACGACGCAGTGAGTTGGTGTAGATGATGATGTGATTTCCGCGTAAGATCTTA